TCATTAGAATTTTGTTTATTTTTTTGATGGCTTCAGAATTCTTTAGAATCCTGTTGAATGTCGTGTTTGTTTTTTTTATTATAAAAAAGAAAAATCCCCAAACACAAAACGTGAAAGCAACTTTAATTAAAAATAGAACAGAGAAAATTATTTTTTATACTCTAACTAAGGAAAACGTCATTCTTGGACCGGTTTCATTTTTTTCAGTACTCATTAGCAAGAACTAGATAATCTCGACTTTTTAATAATAGTCCGTCAGATAGTGACAGGTTTAGGTGCCCCCTTTCGCATACAAGCCTCGAAGAGGGTTGAAAAGTACTTCGATTTTAAGTAGAATAAAAGGAAATTTACGAGTGGCTGCTGGGGATAACACATGGAAAATTCGATTTTCCTTAACAAAAATGAAAGGTTATTTGTTGCCCATTTTTCCACTCAAGCCGTTTTCACTACATGATTAATTAATAGAACTAGGCTTTAGAAAACCAATGGCTTTAATGTTGTAAGTGGCTAAAGGGTTGAAATAAGGGCGTAATCTACTAAGGAAAAATCGAATGTATGAAAACGAACGTCGTCACTAGTCCGAAAAATATATTTTCTTGAATGACCCGAATGTATAAATACATTTTGAGGTCGGAAAATTTTTCTGATAAGGAAAATCGAATTTTCCATGTGTTATCCCCAAGAGCCACTCGTAAATTTTCTTTTATTCTACTCAACATCGATGTACTTTTCAACCCTCTTCGAGACTTGTATGCGAAAATGGGGCACCAAAATCGGCCACTATCTGACGGTCTATAAGTTATGTATCATATTATACAAGGTGGCTCCAATTTTTGTTATAAAATATCTAAAGAAATTTTGTTATTAATTTAACTATGTCTTTTTGTTTCTATCACTATATTCTGAGTTTCTTTAAATTTGTTTTTAGATTATAATATTCGAAATCTGTTAATAATAACGTAAATGAAATACGTTTGCTTTTAGGTATCTCACTTGAATGTTTCACTTGCAGTTCTCAAGTGGATTTAACAAATGGAATGAAAAATGAATGTGACTACTTTTCTTACACAGATAAATCAAAAATTACAGATTGTACGTTTCCAAACGTTTGTGCAAAGTATTACGTCGAACGTAAGTATGATAATAATAAATTATTAAAAGCTAAGGTAAAAATCTGTACATTATTAAAGAAACGTGTGATTTTATGACGTTACTAATTCACAAAAAAAATAGCCATGGCAACTGGTGTCATACTGCCATCCTATAAAAGACATGAAACATGAAAACGCGGTCTAACATATTTTGTTTGGGCGCAAAGGTATGTACGGGGAAATAATTTTCTATGATAAATTTAGGGAAAGTAAGCAAATACGATATTTTCTCAGTAAAATGGTACATAAACTTGTTTATGGTAATACTTTATTTTTTCAATTTTTGGAGATACGGGGAGTATTTCATAGGACGCCAGCATAGGTGTCAAAGTTCGTATATAAACGTCCTTTAAGTATAAAACTATAAAACACTTAATTAGAGTACCACAAGACAGCGTTCTGGGTCCTCTATTGTTTAGTGATTACATAAATGGCATTTTTAGTGTTAAAACTGAAAATAACGTAATTGGTTTTGAAGACGATACTACCATTATTTATACAGCTGAAAATTGGGAAAATTTAAAAAGATATACAGTGATAGATTTAAATATAATTATTGATTGTTTTAATCACAAAAATGTTAATTTTGAGAAACTCAATTTTGTTTCTTATTGTAGTCATAAATTGTCTTTACCACAATAAAACTAATAATTCACTGAACAAAGCTGAAACAAGCTGGGATAATGATATTTAAGTTTGTACAGTACGTCATCGTCATGCAACACCCTGTATATGTAAGAGAAATAAAAGGCCCCTAATATTCGGTATAGTACCTATTAGGAGATTAAAAATCGATATATTGTTAGTGTTGCCAACCTGAACATTCTAAAATCGGTAGAATCTTTCGTATAAAATAGGTAGATTTGAAAAAAAGAAGGCAAATTTGAAAAAGGAGACAAATTGGAAAAAAATATATAAAATAGAATTTTACAAAAAATACAATGGGAAAAATATTGTTTTGTGAATGTACAAAACGAGAATAACACAAACACATTAAAAAATACTCAATATTCTAAATATATTCTTAATATCCTTTAATCTTCCTTGTATAATTGTTTATAAACGACAATAATTGTTTTTCAACGGGAAAAGTGTAACAATTACTGTTACCTATACAGTATGGTTCAAATGAAAGGAATAAATTCATTATAATGGAAGTAGTTGGTTTTTTGAAAAAATGCTCGGACAGGTCAATTTTGTTTACTTAAAGCGCAATTTTTTAAATAAAATTCAATTTTCCCCCACTTCCCATTTTTGGGCAGTGACGTCATTGACAATTTTTTTAAATAGTAACCCCAATTTTTTTTTCTTGATTTTGAGAGATCTTGCAATTTCCTACTCGAAAACATAATATTTGTAATATCTGACAACAATTTTTTTTGAATAAAAGTCATTTAAAGATCAGATACATAAATTTTATTTTATTTTGAAACACAATAAATGAATAAAAGATTATTTGTAATTAAGTGCTTCATCTAAAAAATAAAATAATAAAAAGAATTTATTGACAATTTCACAAATTCTTTTTTATTATTATTATTAATATTATTATTTTGTTAGATTAAGCACTTAATTACAAATAATTATCTTTTATTCAATTATTGTGTTCTCAAAATAAAATAAAATTTATGTGTCTAATCTTTAAATGACTTTTATTCAAAAAAAATTGTTATGTAAGATATTTCAAATATTATATTTCCGAGTAGGAAATTGCAAGATCTAACAAAATCAAGAAAAAAAAATTGGGGTTACTATTTAAAAAAATTGTCAATGACGTCACTGCCCAAAAATGGGAAGTGGGGGAAAATTGAATTCTATTTAAAAATCTGCGCTTTGAGTAAACAAAATTGACCTGTCCGAGCATTTTTTCGAAAAACCAACTACGTCCATTATAATGAATTTATTCCTTTCATTTGAACCATACTGTATATTTTTTAGCATGTAGCAATCCTGTTATGCTATCGGTATTTAATTTGTTTTCATTAACTTGATAGCTGAAAATATTCTTTCTACATTAGCTGAGAAATGTGGAAGACATAATATACCTATTGAAAGCGAAGGAACTCAAATTAGGGAACATTGCAATTCCGTCACCCATTTTCAATTTATTTACTTCTTGCCAAAATGATGTGGCGGCATTGTCTGAAAACCCCCGAATTTCCTAAATATTTCTTAAAGACCACCACTCATTGTCAAGTATTTGCATTTGGTTTTCTCTTATTAAATTTGGAAATAAAAGTGCTACTTTCGAAATAGAGGTTATAGAACCATCCATCTTTCACTATTTCAGGATCGATAAAATTGAAATTGGAAAAATCAAATCCCGGTAGATGAGGTCCCGTAATTCGGTAGACTAATTCCTAAATCGGTGGTAGAATGATTCCAACATCGGTAGGGTTGGCAACACTGGTAGAATGTAGAATACTCTCTAAATTAAGATATAGGAATTGACAATGCTGACATTGATAACATGCTGCCAAAGAATTCTTTATTTAAATTAAGTTTTGATTTATTTGCAAGCCCAAATAAAATTTGGGCTATAAAAAATTATTTATAGACTCATTTGTATTGCTCCTCTCCACGGAAATCTTTAGTAAAAGGCGAAAGATTTATTCGCTATGAAGAGAAGCCAGAGTAACAAATATAGATTTTCCCCTACTATACCTCAATTATTGTTGAGTACAACGTAGTGAAATTACTGCCAAATTTACTGTCGCCACCTAGTGGCATTCCTCAATACTAGATACTGTTTGGTGATTACAGTTTACTTCTGGCGGGCTAGCTACGAATATCACCGCTACAAAGAGGTTACGATTGGTGCCCTGAGGCAATTTTGTTTACCATTTATCTCGCCTTTAAAATTACTTCCAACAGTTGTGTATGTGTTAGATCTGTTCGAGTATTAGATGACCAGTGGGAAGTTGAAAAGTTTTACGCGATGAATAATTTGATAATCAACTGTTCCACTGGATCTCGGACCGTTTGCAGTACACTTTAAAAGAAACCACACAATGGGGTCTATTCTGTAACAATTCCTTTATATTTAAGGGCCTTTAAAAATATTGGCGGCCTATAAAAATATTTTCGTATTCGTTAATTTACTTCTATCATTATTTAAACAGATTTCTTTAAGATAATCCTCTAATGTATTTTAAAGATCCGTTTAAATAGTGACCGAATTAAAGAAGAAAATATTTTTAAAGGCCGTTAAATATAAAGAAATTTTTACAGAATAGACCCCAATGCCTGTAACATTGTTAGTAGAATTTACCAAACATTTTGAATGTATTTCAACAAATAACTTATTTTATTATTTGCCTAAGTTAAATAATCTTCTTGGGCATTCATATAAATACTTTTTGATTTTTCGTGAAACAATAATTTTGTAGCCATTTTCATTATGATACAAAAATGAAAATAATTATTAATCAATTGTCAAATTGAATATACAAAAATTGGTTTATGAATTAAATAAAAAGGTAAATACCTAACAGTTATTGTGACTAAATAAATTTTGAAAAGTGCACTAACAAACATTTCTACGTTCATTGGACTATCGTGTTTGCAATAAATTGTATTACAAAATAATTAGTTTTTAAACCTATTTTAATATATTCAGATATATTACAAAAAACTACAAACTAATTAATTTTGATAAAAGCTCAGTACTTTAGTAATACCAGTATAAATTTTAATACGACGTTGCCGAACTGTCATTTCTTTCCCCGAAGCAAGAAACAAAAGTGGGCATGTGTAATTGCGAATGAAAGCAGTCTATAGTTAGACTAGAGTTAGAAATCACAACTACCTATACTTAAATAACTGAAAAGCTATTGATTTTCACTAAAGGCCTGTATTTTTCCTAATAAAATGCCAACCAGGCAGCAAACTGAGTTTGAACTATCTCTTGTTGACGCTTTAAAATCTGATAGTGTAACCAATGCAATATGTGGTGATATTATTAAAACAATTACCAAAAAGTTTGCAGAAAAATTTAATTATTATGATGCGAAAATTAAATCTCTTGAAGCAGAGATAGAATTGCCAAAATCAACAGAAAGTAATTCCAACAATATTACTGAATCCGATGACCAACAAAAATTAAAACAACAAATCAGTAACTAACATACAACAGTAATCAAAATGGAGTAATATTAGGTCAATGGGACTCAATGAATTAGAAAACGAAAATACATTGGATATGGTTAAGCATCTTTTCACTAGTCAGTTGAAATTAAATCGTGAAGATGGACCTGTCGTTGCATACAGAGTAGGACAACCGACAAATGGACGGCCAAGACATATGTCGTTGTTGAATTTTCTATCTCTTTAAAAAAATACAATTTATAAGAAGAAAAGGATGTTGAAGGGAAGTGGCATAATAATAAAAGATCTAACGACGGAAAGATTAAAAATAGTAAAAAGTGCTTTAGAAAAATATGGTTTTAAAAATGCCTGGAAAATCCATGGAAATGTTTTTGCCAAAACCGAAAATGGCGTAGAAAGAATTTTTCAGTGATTTTATTTATATTATCTCTTTAATCTAACTGTAGTGTAAATAGTATGTATGCCTAGTGTAAATAAGTAATAAGGTATTGTCGACTCTACTTTTGTCACGTAATCAAATATCTCATTTCATGAATGCATAGGATGTAAAATTAAATGTAATGTGGAAAACCAAAGATTGAGCCCAAATTTGTAATTTATAGAGATTTTAAAAATTTTAATGCTGAAATGTTTTACACCGACTTCTTGTAGGCACATTTAAATCTAATATATTATATTTACCAAATTGATAATAAAATAGAAACATTTAATAACATAATGCTAAATCTTTTTGGCACACATATACCATTTAAAACTTCCAGAATAACAAAAAAGAAAGCTCCTTGGTTGATACTAGAAATCCAGAGGGTAATGGGAGAAAGGGATAGGGCTAAAGCTAAAATTAAGAAATATCGTACACCACATAACTGGCAACAGTATAAAAATCTAAGGAACATTACTAACCATACAATAATACAACGTAAAAGAGATTATTTTAATAACATATCTAGAAATAAAATTGGTAAAGAGTTATGGAAAGAATTAAAATCACTAGACATAACTAATAATAAACGGTATCATATATCCACTTTGTTTCAGGATCCCAATGTTATCAACCATTTCGGTATTATACGCCGACACTCGAACGGCGGATATAACTATTGAAACGTTATAAAGAGTTTCTATACACTTTGAAACACACTATACATAACAATTTTGGGTTCGCTAACACTTATTTAAAAAAAAAAAATTTACCTTAAAATCCAAAATCCTTAAAATTTGTTGTCGGGTCTCCATCATAAAACAAATGTAAAATAAACCATTTTCACTGATTTCTTGTTGTAGAAACGGCTAAATATCAATATAAGACCATTCATAAAGCAATAAACCGTACCAAATTTTTTCATAAACGATCAAATTTTCTTATTTTTCATTTTTAGTTTGTTAGAAAAATAAATAATCACTAAATTATTTTTAATGACAATTGATGTGTCTAGTTTCTATAAATGCGGTGTTGCCAAATCGAGTAAGAAAACATATGTCAGGAAATAATTCGATTAGTGAAAGTTGGCTGAAAAATGTGGTGTGGTGTGTGCCATGATTCAGTCAACTTAGTTAAATCATATTTATACCAACGAATTCAAAGTGTCAAACTGGGTGAAAAATTGTCTTTGCCCCGAAATGTGTCCTCTGCAGTACCCCAAGGATCAGTTTTAGGGCCTCTACTATTTACAGTATATCCTAGCCAATTCACTAAGTTCGCTCGTAATTGCTCTACATATATGTATGCCGATGATACTCAATTGGAAATAAGGCTCAATATTCTTTTATGAATGAAAATATTCATTTAAGAATCTCTGGGGCGCTCAAAATTCTGTATCCACATCGTAATTATTTAAGTATTTCAACTAAAATGTTTATTTTAAATTAGATTAGGTTAGTTTAAGTTAGAATTAGTGTAATTATTAATATTGTTATTTAAAATAGAATAAGGTTTTAGTGGAAGAGCACCACTACAGGTGAACTAACCCTTAAGGTTTCCTAATTTTATGTATCATGTAATTCTTTACTATACCTATTTAAAATAGATTTTGATACATACATAATAATAATAATAATAATAATAATAGTTTATTTTGCATTTACGGTGTACAATAGAATTACAGTAATAAAAAAAATTACGCAAATACAAAAAAAGAACGTCCTGACAGTTAAAACTGATATAAAGTGTCATCTTTTGTACATTGGTCATACCAAATGGCTGTTCTTTTTTACGATTAAATCAATTTTAATTCAAATATTACTGTTTTTATATTTGAAACCTTTCAATTTTCATCTGTATAATTAATGGTGGTGTCGTCAACAAAACCAATTGTGCTACTTTCAGTTACAATACCAAATGTATTTATCGTCAGTGTAAATATCAAAATGAGTAACTCCACTTATTTCTGAAATGCAGATTATAACTCCATCTAGTAACAAAATGGCAGATTTACCATCTGATAATTTTATGTTATGTTATTTTCAGTTTTCAGTTACAATACCAAATGTATACAGGGTGTTATTGAAATACACGTACATATTAAAATGGGGAATAGTATGTAATGACCAAAAACGATTGGCACCAATTTTAACTTCAAATTCTAAAATTTAAATATTGGGGAAGAGTCCCCTTTTCCGACCTACTAGTTTCCATATTTAAAGAAGTAAAATAAATCGAAATTGGACTTACCCATAGAAATTGCACTGTTGCCGTAGCAAAACCAATTATTTCAAAATAAAGTTTATTACAGTAATTGTTCAAAATGCCGTCCATTATTATTTACACACACTTGCAATCGTCTTTCCAAAGAACTTTGAACATTAGAAATTAGTCTTGGATTTTGTCGTAGTTCCTCGGCTACCGCATTAACTTTATTGGTTAATTGTTCAACACTATTAATAGGTTCATTATAAACCAGTTGTTTCATGTGACCCCACAAAAAGAAATCGCATGGATTTAAGTCCGGAGATCTCGGAGGCCACTTAGTAGGTCCATTTCTGCCTATCCACTTTTGAGGAAATCTAATGTTCAAAAACTGCCGTACGTTTAAATCAGAGTGAGGAGGAGCGCCATCTAGTAGGTACCACATCCGTTGCCTTAATTGTAACGGTATCTCTTCTAGGAGTACTCGCAAAATATCTTCTAAAAAGTGGAGATATCCTGGCCCATTTAATCTGTTCGGGAGAACATAAGGCCCGATTAAATACTGATCTATTATGCCAGCCCAAACATTTATTGAAAATTTTCTTTGATGCCCAGTTTCCCTAATGGCGTGAGGATTTTCATCACTCCAAATATGCGTATTGTGCATATTGAACACGCCATCACGAGTGAATGAAGCCTCGTCAGTATACAATAATATTTTTAGAAAATCAGGAATATCAACACATTTTTGAATCATCCATTCACAAAACTCCACTCTCTTTTCTTCATCACCTGGATATAAGGCCTGAACTTTTTGGATGTGATAAGGATGTAAACCTTGTTCTTTAAGTGTCCGCCACACAACAAATGAGGACACTCCAATTTCAAGACCTAGTCTTCTACAACTTAATTGAGGCCGGTTTTCAACAGCTGCCAATATTTCTTCTTCGACCGCCAATGTTCTTTGTGTTCTTGTTCTCCCTCGATCTGCATTGACACTCTCAAATTTTCCATGGTCTCTTAGATGCTGAACAGTTGAAATAAACGTACGACAGTCCGGAATTCTCCGATTTGGAAACCGTTCGCGTACAGGATTTGTGCTTGCCGAGAATTTTCTCCAGCTGCCCCATAAACCAGCACTATATCCGTAAGTTCAATATTCGTAAAAAATATTTAAAAGTAATCGTAACAACACTTTTTACCAACTTGGAAATGACGCGCTCGTGTTAGCCAGATTCGTAAATCAACTAAAATTTTAATAATCAATAGTTTCAAAAATGTATAGTTTAAAAACAATCATTTATCAAATATTCTAGTTTTTTGATAACGAGGGTAGTAAAAACCAGTCTTCGGAAATAGAAATTAATTCGAAAATCTTGGCAACATGGTTATTTCTTACTAGACTAGTTTTCTTATCATCTGACAAAAACTTGCATATTAATTACTGTTGATGTTTAAAATAGGTAAATAAACCTAATTTATATAGGTCATCCTCAACATATCAGTGAAGTACGTTTGTTTTAGAATTAATTTTCAAAAATTAATAACTCCCTTAATAAGGGGTATTTTTAAAAAATAATATTTTTCTACATTCAGTGGGGATCTGCGCAATACCCAGTTTTAATATGTACGTGTATTTCAATAACACCCTGTATATTATGTAAACACTAAACAATAGTCCCAGAACGCCCAGTACGATGCCTTGTAGTATTCCATATACTCAGTAAAGACATGAATATATTTCACTATTTTTGTTTTCTGTTATTTAGGTAACTAGTCATTTATTATTAATGGTTAGCTAACTATAAGGCCACATAAAACATTATGTCAAAGTACTTAAATTTAAGACATTTGAAAAGTATGTAGGTATATTTCATTCTCAAACACACTGATTATTTTTTTGAGAAATATTCCGACTGTTACGGTTTTATATTTTGACTTTATTGATATTTTATTTTTTCAGATGACGGCGTGAAATGGGTCCACAGATCATGTCGTCCATTTGACGTTTGTGCTAGAGTCGCAGTTAAATATAATGATAACAGGAACGCTTTAATTGATTGCACGACGTGTTCAGATAGAGATCTATGCAATTCAAGTGAAAACATAAAATTTACAGTAATAATAGTGATTATAGGATTTTATATTCTTCACTTGATTTCATGATTTCGTTTTAAAATACTAATAAAAGTAGATTGTATTTTTAAAGTTATAAAAAGATTGTTTTTAGATGACATTTTTATCTACTTTATTTACATTTGAATGCAAATAAAAATATGTATTTCTGAAAATATTGCTTGATTATTTACACTATTCACCTTGAATTTTTAATGTCAATATAGTTTATGAATATTGTCTGGAAAAAGATAAATAAGTATTTGTGCAAATGTTTTAGAAGCTTCTCATAATCATTATAATCTACAGAACAGGGACGGAAAACCTTTTTTGTACCTCATAGATTGCATTTTACTTCCTCATTTTAGGGACTCAAGTGCCACTTTTACTCACTTGGGACTAAAATATTTTAGTCCGAATGGATTAAAAAAATTTAGTTCCGCAAATAACGAAACCATAGCAAACTACTTTATTAGGGAGATAATATATGCATGCATACATTTTTATTTATTAATAGTAACACAATTAGGCATTCCAAACAAATGAATTACCAGTGGGCAGGTTTGGTATATCTAAGGGTGGCGACACATGGTGTTTTCTATCTACTTTACGTAAAATCATGAATAATGGATTACATTTAAATATTTCATGTCAAACACAATAAAAATAATATTTAAAAAACCCACCTATACATTTTTTCATAAATTGGCAGGCTTGGCGAGTACTACTTCGAATAAAAATAGTGTCCAAGTTGCAAGACTATGTCGCTACCCCCTTAAATATACAAGAATTTCCCACTGGCACCTATTTTTACTTTCCTATCTGTATACAGATATAAGGAAAGTATAGGAATCATGATTTTTTTCGACCTCGAGTTTTCGACGCATTTTTACGTTTTGAGGTCCCCTGAATCCGTTTTGACTATTTTCGCGATGATGTCTGTGTGTGTGTGTGTGTGTGTGTGTGTGTGTGTGTGTCTGTATAACGCATAACTCATGAACCGATACACGGAAAAATACCAAATTTCAAACTTAAGCTTTATTCCAGCGTCTAATGAGCTGATTAGATTTTGGGCAGAGTCGGAACATCCGGGGGGGTACTTTATAGGTGGTGATTTTTATATTTTATGAAATATATCTGTTATTTACGTTTGGGGAAGAAAATTTTTTGAATAAAAGTTACTTCTTATTTTATGATCTATAATTTTTGTTATTTACAAAATTTTCCTAAAATGGTCCGTATTCGAGAAATTTGACAAAATGTAAAAAAATATTTTTTTTTATAAAAATTGTTCAAACAAAACTTGTTTGTAATATAATTCTCTATAATTTTTGTCCCATAGATAATTTCTCTAAAATGGACCGTATTCGAGATATTTGAGAAAATGTGTAAATTTCGAAATTTGAAGAAAACTCAAAAACGGATAAAGAAAAAATCAATAAATTTTAAACTTAAGTTCTATTTCGGCCTGACGTGAAATGATTAGATTTTGGACAAAGTCGGAACATCTGGGGGGGTACTTTATGGGAGGCCGTTTTTATATTTTATGGAATATATCTGTTATTTATGTTTGGAGAAGAAAATTGTTCAAATAAAAGTTACTTCTAATATTATTATCTATAATTTTTGCCTTATGTAAAAATTTCCTGAAATGGTCGGTATTCGAGAAATTTGACAAAATGTGCAAAATTCTGATTTTTATGAAAATTGTTGAAATAAAAGTTGTTTGCGATATCGATCTCTATAATATTTGTTCATACATGATTTTTTTTAAATGGACCGTAATGGAAAAATTGTAGGAAAAGTGCTAAATTTAAATTTTTCAGTATTTTCATTTTCAATGAATATCTATAGAAAAATGTTTCGCGGTAGATGTATGTGGACAATGTATATATTTAGTTTATCCTCTAAACATTTATAGAGATGCTGCAATAGGTTGTACACAATAAACGGAAAAAGCCTGTAATAACTAGATAGGAAAGTCATGTGTTGGACACATCAGATTTTTTGACAGGTCGTTGAAATGCCTAATTATTTTATTATGACTAAATTCGGCATATTTTTAATTGATTGTTTTTCAGGCCACTCCAATATCTAAATGGTTTTTAATTGTATTGAGATAATTACTGTAGAGAGTGACAATTTAAAACTGAAAAAAATTCATAAAACAGACTCACTAATTAGCTTAACTTTTAATACACTACATAGTGCAGGCCAGAATTTTGATTTTTTAATTCATTGCTTCTAATTTTTTAAAAAAGTGATTTAAAAAAGAACGCCCATTTTCATTAAATTTCTTGTTTTACCAGATCACGTGATACAGGTATTGTTGAAGACTCGTTATACCTAATACAAAATTGTTCTAATAGCATCACGTAGGATCGGTGTATTTTATTTGGTACACAAATATGCTCTTGGTAAACTTCGTTATCTTTGGATTAAGTTTATGATTGTTTAGAGAAACTTTATAAGGCCTCAATTCTTTATTAATAATAACATATTTTTCGAGCAACTGCATAGAACTCAGACGCAGTTGAACACTTTTAGAAAGATGAACAGTAGTATTTGGTTGATACCGAGTGTTTTTATATTATTTCTAGTATTTAATGGAGGTAAGCATATATTTATATTTGAATATTAATTATTATATTTGTGAAGATTTTATAAATATGAAATTGCAGTTATTTTGATAATTTAATATTTAAATTATTATATTCTTCATTATTTACCATGCTATTGTTTTATTATACTTATCTCTTATTTTCTTTAAGAATTTAGTTTTATATTATTAATTCCTGCCTTAATAATATTTGGTTACATAATATATGTACTATTATTTTATTTCTTTGACCTAATATGGTTCACAAATTCACACTACTTTTCATACTTGTATCTTTTGATCTTTTTTATACCTAACTTGCCTTTTGAACTTTCTGTGTTGTGTAGCCCCGTGTCGATCCTATTTAGAGCTGGACCTGTGAATTTCTTATCGGTGCCGGTGACAAGATTAGTTTTGACCCCCTCACAAAGAAAAAATGTATAACAAATAAAAGTTATAAAAAGTTAAAGTACACCCGCCGATTAACTGTTTTTATAGAACAACATTCTTTCGGTCGACAAACGTATATTTGTAGCAAATATCGCTCAGTATTTATATTACAAAATTATAATAAGGAATACAGTATGTGCCATAAATCACCTCTGCTTAATTAAAAAGTTAAAATAGCCCATATCAAAGTTGGCTACTGATGTTACTTTTTAGTCAAATTCACATTAAAAAAATTTTTTAAACGATTTTTCAAAAAAAAAATTAACAGATAACTAATGCAGTACCTAGCCAACATATTATAGGCTATTTTAAGTTAAAAAAAAACGTAATATTAAAAAATTCCTATATTATGGATCCAACTTTATGAAAAAAACTGTATATCAAATATTTTTCAGTTTTTTTAAATTGTTTAAATACCGCAAAAGTACCCAGGCAGCAGACTGACGTCATTATGACATCTTATTTTCGTCATACAGGACGTCATTTATCCTCTGAAAACTAACGTAATAAAGACGGTAAAATGAATATGTCATAGCCCATATGACGTCATATTTAGACGTCCTTTTCACGTCTAAATATGACGTCTTTATGACGTTTTCTAGTAGTCTTTATAACGTCCTTATGCCGTTTTTATATCGTTGTTTTAATGTCACCTATGTCGTTATTTGAGACGTTCACCATGACGTTATATTTGATAGTTACTCCTTTGTAACTTTTCTATAGGAACTGTGGGTCACTTGATAAAACAAAATTAGCAAATGAAATAATTATAATTAAAAAGAAAAAACAGTTTAAATACATGAAATGTTATTGGCAAAAAACATTAATTTGCATAAATCCAACTGCTCCAAATGTGGCCAACTTGTTCGTTATTATTTTGTCTTTGGCACAATTATGAAGACTATGAGTGCCGCCATTTTATACTATTTCACGAACCTGGGAACATTATAGGAAACAGCCTATGAATGTAATAGACATAAAATCATTAAAGAATAAGGAAAATATAGATATAAAAATACTAAAAGTCTTATACTAGGTTGATATTGATATAACTTTTTTCACTGACCTTCTCTTAACTTTTAACGACAATCCTGAATCTATACGTGCCACGATCCACGATGCACACACCAGTTACAAGGTATCTAACAAAATTATTGCTTATAATTTTTTTCTCGACTTTGCCAACCATCAATCCCTCTAGATCTTGCATTGTACCTATTTTATAAACTTTAATCTGTTCTTAAATTCTTTCCTATTTCTATAATATTTTTCTTAATTGGTTTCTGTTGCTATTATTGCTGACCATTCTTTTTTAAGTTCAATTTCTTTTTCTACCCTTTTTTATTGTTTTCTATCGTTCTCTATCGTTTTCTTTTGTTTTGTAACGTTTTGTGTCGTTTTTATCGTTTTGTATCGATTTTTTTCGTTTTCTATCGCTTTCAATTGTTTTTTTTATCGTTTTTTATCGCTTTCATCGTTTTTTATCGTCCTGTATCGTTTTCCAAGGTTTTATATAGTTTCATATCTTTTTCTGTCGTTTTTCATCGTTTTCTACCGTTTTCTATGGTTTTCTATCGTTTTCTATAGTTTTTTATCGTTTTCTATAGATTTATATCGTTTCCTATCCTTTTCTATCGTTTTTGTTACACCTCTATTCTTTAATGAAAATTAACAAAAATTTAAGGTTAAAGGCTAATTGCAGAAAGCTTGATTGTTGCTAAGCATTGATTACATTTTAATTAACATCTCCAATAGTGACATTTTATATTTTAATACCAACTATTCCTTCAATTAAAATGTAATAAACGGTTAACTTTAATGAAGTATACTGCAACTGGTCATAAATATGTAAAATTTGTTAAAAAAAAAATATAATTCGACGTTAGTAAGACGTCAGACTACCTTGTAAGACGTATTTTTGAAGTCATAACGTCATTCGCCTGTGACTAAGAAAGAAATAATTACGTCATTCGGACGCTATTTTGGAAGTCATCCTGACGTCAGTGATGACCAAATAGTAACGTACAAATGTCGTCAGTTGGTTTTCTGGGTTTCTATCGTTTTCTTTTGCTTTGTATCGTTTTCTTTCGTTTTCTATCATTTTCTATCGTTTTCTATCGTGCTCTATCGTGTTCTATCGTTTTTATCGGTTTTTTATCTTTTTTTATAGTTTTTTTTTATCGTTTTCTATTGTATTCTATCGTTTTCCATCGTTTCCATCGTTTTCTATCATTTTCTATTATTTTCTATCATGTTCTATAATTTTCTATCATTTTATATTTTCTATCATGTTCTATAATTTTCTATCGTTCTATAATTTTCTATCATTTTCTATCATTTTTCATCATTTTTCATCATTTTCCATCATTTTCTATCATTCTCTATCATTTTCTATCATTGTCTATCATTTTCTATGATTTTCTATCAATTTCTATCATTTTCTATCATTTTCTACTATTTTCTATAATTTTCTATCATTTTCTATAATTTTCTATCATTTTATATCATTTTCTATCATTTTCTATCATGTTCTATAATTTAATATAATTTTCTATAATTTTTTATCATTTTCTATCGTTCGCTATCGTTTTTTTATCGTTTCATATCATTTTCTGGCATTTTTTATAATTTTTTGCTATTTTCTATCGTTTTTATCATTTGCTATCGTTTTTTATCGTTTTCTGTCATTTTCTATCGTTTCCAAATTTTTTTTTATTCGTTTTTGTCTTATCTTCGTACATCTACGCATACAATCTACACATTGATTGTTGTAGTTCTTTGATTTTTGGCAACCATTTTTTTTTGACGATGCTTTCATTATTACTTTTAAGTGTTTTTTTTTAATGATTTTTAGGTGAATCTATACAATGCTACCAATGTACAGCAGCAATAAATTCGTCGAGCACCTGTGAAAGAAATGTATCTTCTATGGCATCATTCAATTGCACTTTACAGGGAAATTTCACAAGTTGCGTGACAGTAATAACTGACAGTAAGTATCCCTACTTGTGATCAGTATTATTATTAAAACAATTCTGCATTAAAAAATCTATTTTTTAGATAACATTAGCAGAAATTGCGCAAACGCTTCAAGTTGTCAGGCTCTAACCGGATATTACAAACAATGCTCTATTTGCAATTCTGATTATTGCAACACTGACTACATTGAAATTCAAAAGCCTTCTAACGGATCGCAACCTGCAGGTGCCCCTAATAAGCCTGGATCTGCGGGACCATCTCCTGGAATGGGAGGATATCATCCTGGAGTAGTATCGAAACCTGTAGGATCAAAACCTGGATCAGGACAAATAAATGAAGCTTTGATATTGCCTGTAATTATTTGCACCATTTTTAGTAGCGTTTGGGTACACCTTCGTTGAAATATAAATTATTTAACTATGTAATATGTTTTGGGAATAAATTATTTTTTAAAAAATTATCAAATATTTTTCTTTTAATAAAACATGACTTATTCGCTTAAGTGCTACTGGCAGTTAGATTATTTGGCAAGGTACCTAAATCAAAGTACCATTTACGTAATAACTAATTTCTCCAAAATATTTGAAAAAGTTTTAATAACTAGACTATGTGAATACTTAAATAAATACAGTGTTATATCTAGTAATCAATTCCATTTCAGAGAAGGTATCTCAACTCAAAGAAATGTATAAATCTGTAGATAGCAGCCGGCCTGATCTATGTGTTTTCATAGAATTATCAAAGGCATTTGACACAGTTAGCGATGCTTTGCTCCTTGAGTCACTTAAAAATATTGGAGGACTAAACACTGACATTTTTTAGAAGCTATTTATTTAAAAGACCTCAGCGTGTTCAATTTGATAATATATACAGTGATTTAAGGGATGTGGAGTATATGGTACCGCAGGGCACAGTGCTGGGTCCTATATTATTCAACCCTATTTAAACAATTTATTTTTTATTAAAAGTACAGGCAACATTATTACATACGCTGATGATACGGTAATTTTATATACAGATAACACATGGAAAGATTTAAAGTCAAAAGTCGAAAAAGACCTTCAATTAATTAAATCCTGGTTTGAAAACTGCCTGCTAACAATAAATGAGAGTAAAACATTTTTTTTAACCATCTCTGCTAACATATCTGGTCGTTCAATATACAGTAATCTTACTTTCAATTAAAAGTAACATATAAATTCAAATATCTAGGGGTAGTCCTGGATAGTCACCTTACGTGTGACAAACATATTGAGTACCTCCAGAAAAAAATACGTTATCTATAAATTCAACAGCCTAAAGAATATACTTAACTTTACACAGCTAAAAACTGTTTATTATGCGCTTGTTGAATCTCGATATTATGAAATAGTAGCCGGGGCGCTGTTAAAAAACTCATCTTATGATTTGTCAAAAGAGACTTTTAAAAACATTTAATTTAAAAAGAATAGGCTTTACCCCACAAACACGCTTTATAATGGCATAGGAGTTCTAGATCCTCGGCAATTATTTTTCTTACAAAGTGCTTTAGAACAACACAAAAATAAACATACTCTAAGATTAAATGAACATCATTATAATAGCAGAAATAAAAATTATAACTACTTACCAGCTCCAACAAATAAATCTATAGGACAACAATCACATGAGTATCTAGGACATGAATTATTTTCATATCTACCACGTGATATCCTAAATATTACAAATAAATTACACTTTAAAAGGGCCTTAAAAAATACATATAGCTGAAATACCTCCTGAAACTATTCATGACTTAATTGAATGCCCACACCTTTGCAATATTTCTACAAATATCTCTGGAATATGATATTATATCTATCTATTTTTTTTTTTTTTTTTTTTTTTTTTTTTTTTTATTTTTTTTTATTTGGTGTCATCGGCGTCGACTACTACGGCCATTAGCCTCGTGTTCTGTGTAGGCTTTAGTTTTAGTTTACTGTGTTATTATTTTGACAAAGTCACTAAATTTTGCTCTCAATTAATTTTAAAAATGTATATTTCAATTAATTCCCGCCTGAGGACATGTAATTTCTGTTTCCCAGGAATTACCGTTTTTCAACAATTGCGAGTACCCTCGTGGATTAAAATATTCCTATATTTGCCGAAATCCGAATGGGCATTTTGTAGAGTCGATTTCGTACCGATTATCTACCTTTATTTGTCAAGGTACTAGAAGGATATTTTTTATTTTTAAATTGTAAACAGTCAGCTGTAGTAGTGGTATCCCATCACTCAGGTTTACCGAAAAGCATAAATTCAATGACATCTGGGAATTACACTCTCTTGAATTCCGGCAGCCGTAAACTCTTCTCTCTCCTATAGTGCCTAGTGAAATACTCCGTGAGTGCCCGTAATATCGAAAGAATATTGAACAACCCCGTTTATTTTTCTAAAGGTAGGAAACCACTTATTTTTTTTTATTTACAATTAGTTTGGGACACCCGTCCGACAAGTGAAATAATTTTGATTCAAGCCCAGTATTTTTCATTTCATCCCTTACGGCCATATGCACCATTGTCCAGCTAAGTCCTCTGTTATCTAACAGTAGTATAAAAAATAACAGTGTGTTAACAGAATTTGCTATGCACCATCTATGTACCATCTATTTACTAGTTTCAGTAAGAAATCAGTCTGTTGCGTACATATTACTGTCAATATCCTATAAAACCATATATAGCCCTTCAAAATAAACAAGTAAAATTAAAATAGTCTGATAAGTAAAATTAACAGGCCAAATTTGGTTTGTTAATTAACAACGCCTTTAACAGATTGTTAGTCGTATGTTGTAATGGTGAATACAAAATTGTCAATTTAACAGTCAGTTATGTAGTTAACTCTCTGATAACCATTAACAGAAGAATGGTGCATATGGCCGTTAGTGGGAAACAGCTGGCAATTTTTTATAAGAAGCACCCAGTATTTTTCTTGTAAGTTTCTCTTTTCTTTTATTTATTCATTCAATTATATTTGAATCATTCCGTTTCCCGTCAACAATTAATTATTGAACGAAGCCTGACGTTTTCTATAAAACTAATTCACACACCGTCTTGATCACCTTTTGGCAAATCTCAAAATAATTTTTACGTTAACCATCGCATTTTATTACTAGTAAAAGGTAATACGAACTTTTAATTTCCTTAGTACCTAACAAGGTAATAAAGTAAATTGGATTTAAATCCGGGGCACTCGCACCCTTCGTCCATTTTCGCGTTAATCAGGGGGTGATAGCTTACTTCCCCCCGTCGATAATCAGAGCTTTTTCAGCCCCTAGTCTTTATAACAGCTCGTGGAAAGAGTTTCTTTCTTGTAGAAGCTATGGACTACCAGATGTCTACATGAGAGAGACTTTAAACCGTTAATATTTAATTAGTTTTCATTGGTAATAATTTATTTTTAATAAATTTTCCGCATATAGGAAGCCGTTAATATTTAATTAGTTTTCATTGGTAATAATTTATTTTTAATAAGTTTCTCGCATATAGGGAGCCGTTCATATTTAATTACCGTTGTATTAGTTTTTTGTAAATATATATTTTATTACCTATTCCTGTGTTTCTCTTATTACTGGTTCTTAACCGTTCTCTTTCAGGGTACCGTAGGCTACGAGGTGTAAAGGAGATAAGTGTTTTATTTTTCTTTATTCTAGTATAGTGGCTACCTAGCAGTGACCGCCTGAAATTATTTACCTCCACTGAGTTCACCTTGAGTACACTCTGGTGTACCACAGGGTCGCAGAGCATACTGCGATACCAAAACTGGCGCCTGAGCAACCCCTATTCGGGAATCACCTTCATAGCGCCACACAGACTCGCTGATTCACTGTAGGTGAACCAGAAGCCTGTCACATTATATATATTTTGTATTTTTTAATAATTTTTTTTCTTGTTATTTAACTCATACAAAGATCCAGTCTTTATCGAGTATGCATGACTAAATATGTTTGTATTATTTCTTTAAAAAAATAATTTCTAATTTGGTTCCCTAATGATTTTTTGATAATCAAACGTTTGTTTACTAATCTGTTCAGATTATTTTTGTACATAATTAGTTTAAATAACAGTAACTTTGTACTTTGAGGGTAGAGTTTGAAGAAAAACACAGTGAGGTTTGATTTTATTAATAGCTTTATCCTCACGTAAAAATGGAGTTTGTGTTGGGATACGGATATGATAAACCGTTACAGCAGCTGCGAATGTTCAATATAAATACACATCACATTTTTTTAAGAATTATAACGTCATAATAAAATACATTCATCACCTCACAGATAGATAATGTATCTGTATTTACTTATCTAATCTTATCATGTAACATACCCAACTTTTATCAATCATCACCAAAACAGTCAAATTTGCAGGTATACTTCTTACTTGCCGAATGAAAATTTTTCTCAGATTGTTCTTACAAATAATTCATTCGCAAAAATCAAGATGAAGGTTAATATTTTTTGTGTTACGTTTTTGATATTTGTTTTTGCTAGAAATGTGCCATTAGGTAAGTGAAATAAGTTTTGTTTAAATTAAAGCAATAATCAGATATTAACAAATAGATATTACGCAATAATTCACAACATTATTCTCTTAAGAGCCAATAATTAAGGTGCGTCCACAAAAAAAAAAAAAGATTTCTAATGTATACCCGATTACTCTGACAATATATTGATAGTGCTATTGTAAGTGGGCTAGTCAAATATAAAAAATTATGTACCTACATAAAACGATATTCTCTAAAAAACTTAAACTTTCACATATTACCTACCTGTTTTCTTCATTAATTATGGAACAATTTTAACAAAATTTTGGGAATCGAAACGGTTGCAGATGCTTATGAAGGCTTGCATATTTTTTTGCTTTTTTTGTTTTTATTTTAAGAGATCTAATATTTAATATGGATTATTTTAAAAATTCTGTTAAAATTGTTTCATATACAAGAAAATAGGTAGTGCGAAATTTTCGGTTTTTTAAAGAAATCAATATCATTTTAAGTATAACATTTTTTTTATTTGACCAGATTTTATTGAAAGGATTGGATTAATAAACATGGTAGGTTTCTATTGACATTTATTGGTTTGGTTTACAATACTCATGTCACAAACAATAAATACTGCATTGTTAATTACCTAGTTTAACTTGTTAAATAAAAATAACTGAAATTGTAATATTGTGTGGGTATGGTAACAAGCAAAAGCGTACCTAGGATCTGAACTAGGGGGGGAGGGGCAGACCAATAAAAAGAGCTCAACAGTTTTACTTTTCTTTTTATAAGTTATTAACCACATTCCATAAATTTGTAGTACAGTAGTTGTTTATCTTTATTGTTTTTTTTTTATGTTTTCCCTACTTTAGGTGAATGATTTTTATCTTTTATCATAAAAATCTAGGGTCTAGGGGGACAATATCCCTTCCCTACCCCTCGCTGGGTACGCCTTTGGTAACCAGTCCCTAACCCAACCAAAAGATTGTGATTTACGGAATGATAAGTATCCAGATCATTCTATTTGTCAGAAATAATTATAAAGGTCGTTCTGAAATGGGGAATTTTCCTTTGAAAAGAAAATACATATACAGGGTCTATCAAAAATGTGTGTTACAAATTCTTCCTCAGATAGATTACCAAAAAATAAGTGGATTTGGCTATATTTACATATATCAAAAACTGGCTCCCAACAAAGAGCAATTCGTCCGTCCTGGACTTAACATATATCAACAAAACTAAGAGTAGGTCAGTAGTTATTGTACAAAAATCAGTGGCGTGTCTAGGAGTGTGCTTGAGTCGCCCCTGCAAAAACTACCTCTTTTATTTATATTTTTGTAAAAAGGTATTTACAATATTGGATTGGCGCCTTAAAAATGGTGTGCCACCCGTCCTCATGGGTTCACCATGCCACTGATAAAAATACACGTTAGTTTGGAAATGTATTTATTAAATTAAATAGTAATTGAAAAAATTATTCTTCGGCTGTGACATAAATCGGTAGTAGGTAATACTCTGCTGTATTACAGTAATAAAAATAAAAAATCGCGACATTCAAGCTTCCTGTTAAAGCATGTGGTAAGAGTATTTTATAAATCTAATAAAAAATAAAATAAAATAAAATAAAAAAGGTATTTCTGAGAAAAGTAACCAGTTGGGTCTCTAAAGTCATTGTAGTGTATATATTGTATATTTGGGGTGTATTATAATATTGGGGATTTCTGGGTTGTTCAGGGGATTTTAGTTTGTATTTATTAAAGATTTGCAGTTTTTTATGCAGTGACTTTTATTCCTTCCCCAGTAGCGTAAAGCCAAGCCAAGCGTAATAAATCATAAGAAAGGTTCTCCAGTGAGTATTTTCGGGTGGCACAAAGATCTTCCTCGACTGGAAGATCGTTTGGGCGATCAGAAATACGCAGTGGCGTACCCCACGATTAATTGGTTTGCCCAACAAACCACTTAACGTGACAATATCCGAATATCTTCTATATCCTGGGATATAGACGGACATTTGGTTGGATATCCATATTGGATATATTGAATATCCACAAAATATATTCTGTGGATATCTCTGGGATTTCTTGTATTGTCTGGAAGATACCCATTAAATATTTTGCTGGATATCCATTAGGATATCTTCTATATTCTGAATATAGACGGACATTTGGATATCCATATTAGATCCACGGAATATTTCTGATATCCTGTGGATATATTGGATATCCACAAAAGATATTCTGTGGATATCTCTAGGATTTGGTGTGTTGTCTGGGTTAGGAAACTAAATCATGACCTGACTGGTCTAAAATGACTCGCATGACAATACATTGATTTTCATATATTTATTGTTTTTAGACAGTGAATAAATTATTAATGATTCAATTTGGGTTATTTCAGGTTCAGCCATAACTTGTTACCAATGTGAAGAAGTCACAGGACGACATTGCGAATTAAATGTGAAGCAAGTACTCACTCAAAATTGTACTGGCTCCTTTGTTTGCGCAAAGTATATTTGGAAAGGTGTGTATATTTTAAACCATTCGTTATTTAGTTCCTCAGCTGACTTTCTAGTTGGGTACAGGCGGGAAAGAGGGTCAATAGGTTTTACTACGTCTTGGTGGTAGGAGAGGTCATATGACCTATGAAATATATGCGTCCAGATATTGAGAAATTGCTATTTCCTGTATTATTGGATATTTACTATTTTCAACAAAATTTGGGAAAGAGCTTGATCTTTTTTTAATCTAAAATGATTTTGCGAACATTTTTGTATCGACGAAAGGTTTGTTCCCTAAAAATGAATTTTGTAACCTGGCGAAAAGTGGCTTGTTTTTGTAAAATCGGAACCAAAAGTAATTTGTCCTCAAAACGTTTGCAATTTTACCTCAACACGTGCCACTTTTTGAAGTCAGCTGAGGAACTTATTTAGCTTTTAATATTTATCTGGTAATTTTTGAGAAATATGCAGGGAACTAAAAAGAGATTTTAATGTTTAGTTTTTAAAAAAAAAAAAAAACTCAGTTTTGTTTAATACATTTATGCATTCGATCAAATCAAATTTGTCTTTAAATTGAATATGCTATTTTTTAAATGTGTACCTGTACTTTTTATTTATTTTTTAAGATCCTCATTTTTTCTCTATTCAATCATTTTTTTATTGCCTTTTGACAATGATTAAGTTCAGGAATTTTTGTTATTACGGTCCTTCCAATTTTCATCTTAAATATTAATATTTTTGAATACGATTAATTAAAAATTAAGTATTCTTGGAGTACCTATTGAACTATTAAAAATATGAATTAAATTTTGTTAAACTACAATCAAAAAAATAAAAAAAAAAAAATCAAATTTTAACAATTTACTGAATTATGATACCAATAAAAACTCCCAGGCCGGATATTTTGGTAAGTAATAGAGATATTTTAATTCTGTAAATGCCAGTTCACAGAGCACTAAGAGAGCTTTAGTTTTAGATATAAATTGATTTTAAATAGGTCAATATGTAGATGGCGCTGCGCTCAATAATTTTTTTTCGATGGGAGGATCTCTCTTGTGTAGCGCATCTTGTAAAAAATACATTTTAAAGCAGATTTTGTTTTATGAACTAATTCGATATATCTAGCCATTTTTGATATACAGAGTGGGTCACTTAAAACAGTTTCATCCTGTTTTTCAGCAATAATCATTGAAATCTAAGAAAATGCTAAAACAGGTCGATTTTTATTTCAAATTAAAGACATTTTTACAATACAGACATCTGTCATGTGTCAACCCCCTCCATCGTACTTCTTCACACCTTAATTTTAAATAGGTAATGTACCATGTATGGCACATCATTAAAAAGGTAATTTCATGGGGGATTCAGAAATATGTCTGTACATTACGTTACCTAAATTTTATCGCCCTCTAGCGGGATAAAAAACTACCACGTATTATAGAGTGTGATACTACAATGTGTAGTTCATCATTGAAAAGGTAATTTTATGGGGAATTAAGAAATATGACTGTTCATTGTGATACTTTTCATTGTACCGCCCTCTATCGGGATAAAAAACTACGAAGGTGTGACACCTTATTTGAAAGAAAATTTAATTACTAATTCAATGTACCACATAACATTAATTATTAACATAATATCAATATAAATATTTATATTGCACTTGCAATAGTTTGAAAATTAGTCATACATTGTTTTAAACATTGCTAACTTTATTTTGTTGCAAGTGCAATAACGAAATATTTATATTAATGTTGTAGTGCATCGAATCAGTAATTTAATTAGCTTTCAAATGAAGTGTCACACTTTATAATACGTTACAGATTTTTTATGCCGATAGATGGCGCTAAAATTAAAAGTATCGCAATAAACTGTCTTTCTGACTTCCCCATAAAATAACCTTTTTAATGATGTGCCGTACATGGTACATTCCTTATTTAAAATTAAGAGGTTGGAGAAGTGGAAGGGAGGGGATTGACACATGACAGATAACTGTATTGTAAAAATGTGTTTAATTTGGAATAAAAATCGACCTGTTTCAACATTTTCTAAAAATCCAATGATTAATGCCGAAAAACAGGATGAAACTGTTTTGAGTGACCCACGCTGTATATAAAAAATAGCTAGATTTATCGAATTAGTTCATAGAACAAAATTTGCTTAAAAATGCATTTTTTACAAGATGCGCTACATAAGAGAGATCCTCCCATCGAAAAAAAATTATTGAGCGCAGCGCCATCTCCATATTGATCTATTTAAAATCAATTTATATCTAGAACTGAAGCTCTCCTAGCGCTCTATAAACTGGCTTTTACAGAATTAAAATATCTCTATTACTTACCAAAATATCCGTCCTGGGAGTTTTTATTGGTACACCCTGTATACCTAATTATAAACAATGTATTTATCATTATTTTAATTCTGTAAGAATTGCTCAAAATGTCCCCCTTTCCACTTATTCACATATCTGCCTAAAAGGTTGGAGTTCAAAAATGAAATTAAACATTTACATCAGGTCCGTATTTAAAACAAAATAGACACGAAAAATAAAAGTTTACAAACCTATTCGATTTTTTCTTTTTTAGAGAATAATATTACAACAATACATAGACGCTGTGCTCAGCATACCATCTGTGAAGAAGAACGTGTTGCTTTAAAACCTAACGCCACCTTAATACACTGCAGCACATGTAATACAACGTTATGCAATTCAGCACCTGCAGTTATCTCTCATTCGCTAATGTTTATTACCACTGCATTCATAACAATATCTCTACTATCTTTAGTTTAAACGATTATTTGCGAGGTACATAGTACTGGATAAAAAAATGTTTTTAGAGTAGGCCTTGAAAAATTTTAGGCTTGTCAAAGGGTAAAATTCTTCTTCTTTTTTAATGCAAATTTGAATTTAATTCAGCATGACTCGTATCTCTGTCTTTTTCGGTCACGGCACGGCCTACTTTATAAACATTCTTCATGGATCAATCTTTACAAAGAAAATTTCTTTAACAAATTAAATTAATTGCGCAAAAACAGGCTAGAGTTGCAATAAGAAATAATTTAAAGTATTCATTTAAACCAGTAGATATTGTAATTATTTGAATGCAAATCATTTGTTTTAATTGTCAGTATTTCTCAGTATTTTTTTAATTTTATTTTTTTTTATAAAATTTTAAAACAAATATATATTATATATTTAAAGTATGTTTTTTATTTTCTATTGCTAGGGAAGTGGAATCCTAGCATATACAAATTTCTGTTCTGCTTTTACCCGAAGAAGGTGTAACCAACACTAGTTCAAAAACAGTGCTAAGAATGGAAAATGTTTTTAAGCAACATTATAGTACGATCCTTACTGAAATTTGAATTTAAATCAATATTATTAAGGATCATTTTAGCTTACTAAAATTGACACTGCCAGAACAAGATTGTTACAGTAAGAGTTCTGTTGTTCTGGAAATGTTTCCTGTAGAATATAAAACTTTGTCAATTATAAGAAGCACCTTTTAAAAATGTAACAAAAGTTTGTATCAAGATCGAGATACGGCTTGAATTAAAAACATTTAACTACATAGTCGAATATGACAGGATTCACATAGGACAGAGGAAACGATAGTACTATCTTTCATCTCTCTATAAACACAATATCTCTAAGTTTATAAATATGCCTCAATTTGGAGCATCACCGGCATTATTGGTTCTTTCTTAATACAATACACACTTCATCAGAACTTGAAGTCGGCTATCTTTTTCACTACTTAGAGATTAAATAATTTTCTCCAATTAAAAAGTTGTAAATATCAAACACTATGTCACAAGAAAATTCATGATCCACTTAGCAGTAAGTTGAACCCAAACTAATAAATTGCTTACATTTAATGGTATATTTGTTTCCTGTTTTCCTAAAGAACAGGGGATCTAACACTGATCGCTGGGGTGTGTCTACCTTAAGAAAATTCATTGTCAACAAGTGGTGGCTCTCTGCGAAGAACCCCCTCGACTTTTTCATGATGCCATTCGCAGTCACCAAGACGTTACTTTTGCGCATGCGCGACAATAGCTCTGACGTTGGTTAACATGTAAACAGATGTAAAAATATCAAGTATTCAACTGTCAAAAATGTCCATCTAACCTGACCAATCACAAAATGGCCTCTAACCTATGAAGAAGGGATGCCAAAAAAGAATAATGGGAAAACATTGAGAATCCTCTGGAGGAGCTGAAGATGAGGTAATGAGATAATGGTCCGATTAGAACGGATCAAACGGTATAGTAATGGCATTTAGCTACTTTTAGAAACGTAGATAACTGTATTTGGCTAACCTATAATATATGACATGTCAAAATATCAACCTGTCAATCAAAAAATATCTAATCTAACTGACAATTAAAAAATTACCTCTAACCTATGAAGACGAAGAATATCAGCCGAAGGAAAAGAGTGGGGGAGTGATAAAGACGCCTAAGGCGAAGAAGACTAGATGAAGGAGAAGAGACGTTGAAGAAGTGACGTAAGACCATCGACGACGAAGAATGAGCAGCAGCAACATTGTCGGAAGGACCTAAGGTTTAATATGTAACAGGGATTGAAATGAAATAAACAGTTCGATTTGGGGTTCAGTAAAACTAAAAATTCTGGAACTGGTTGTTTTGTTTTTTAAAAAAATATTGCGAAAAAAAGAACACTCTTATAAATCAACACAAGTACCTAATCTCAAAACATTTTTAAAATGGACTAATTTCGAATTATTTAAAAGCCTTAAAGACTGTCTTCAATTACTAAGCAACGTTGCCACATATCAAATGGAAAATAATATAACGTTTAACAAGTATTAGAAATTAAAAATTAAAAAAAAACCGACTTCAAAAACGTGCAGATGCCATCACCACATCTTAACCAAATTTATACGGGACCACCCCTGAGGTACCCCCTTACTAACAAAAAAAGAATCATATAAATCGGACAAGGCAGTAAAGCATTATTGCTAAACATACATGAAAAATGAAGAGTTTGAGGATTTTTTCATGGGCCCAATTATTAGATTTTGACCAAATTTATATGGGACCACCCCTGAAGTACCCCCTTTCTAACAATCGGACACCGTGTTAAAGAATTATCGCTGAACATACATAAAAAATAAAAAAAAAATATCGCGACGAACTGATAACCTCCTCCTTTTTTGAAGTCGGTTAAAAATTGAAAAACGACCACTAAAATAATTTTTCTCGAAATTAATTAAAAAAAATATAAATGAAACCCATATTTATATTTAATTTTTCTTAAATAAATATAAAGAGCAGAATTCATAAAAGATTTATTTAAAAGAAAATTTATATGTGGTTAGTTTTAGAATAATTTATAATTTATTATTATACAATTCATTTAAAAACCAGTCAGTTAAAATATCTTATAAGGCACTGATTTTTATTAAAAACAAAAAAAAATCAATTAATATTCAAGGGAGATACTGTTATGTATTGTAAAATGTGACACTTAATTTGAGAGCTAATCTCATTAGTAATTTAATTAAGATAAGATTAGGATAAATATTTCCATATTGCATTTGTAACAAAATAAAGTTAGTATAATATTGAACTTTAATCATAAGTTTATTTTTGATTTAGTTAAGACAGTGTTATGTAGTGCATTCAATTACTAATAAAATTAGCTTTCAAATGAAGTGTCACACTTACAATATATAACAGTTTTTTATTCCGCTAGAGGGCGCCAAAATATATAGTAAAGCAATCAACAGTCATATTCTCCATTAAATAATCTTTTCAATGGAGTCCCATACGACTCCTCATCTTGTTATTTAAAAAAATTGCAGGGATGATGCACAATATCGCCTCCTTCCAATATAATTTGACATATTTTTTAGTTTTTTCTCTTTTATAAAAATCAGTCTTTCAAGTTATTTCGACTTGCTGAACAAGAATCAATGATTATGAAAAAATAATAAAATAAAAATTGATAAATATTATTGCCTATTAACGTAAATTAATTTTCATCTGATACTTGTATGTTTAGATTCTTTAAGTTTAGAGAATAAAAATAGATATGTTTGTTATTTCGACAGAAAATTATTCCAAACTTGTTTAAAATATCCTCATGCATCGAAAAAACACAATCAGAACATCAGTTTTACAGTATAAAGAGAGTTCAGATTGAACAAAATTAGCGTAAAATAGCGTTAAACATTTTTTAAAATAATAAGTTTGAAACTAAAACAGCAATAAAATCAATTTGATGCAGTTTTCTTCCAGAAAACCATTAAACATTTTATTATCGCAAGCATGAAGTGCGTGTATTGGTTGTTGATTTTGATTCTGAAATTTATTTGCGGTAAGTCAATAAAAACACTATAAATTCGATTTAACAGCTACGAATTATAAACTCTGCCAAACATTTTGTCGAGATGGTTCATTTGAAACGTTTTATTTAGAGTTAGATTAATTGGGCCAATTAAGAGAAATTTACTTGGATAAATTTGAAAAAAATAAAATGTATTTTACATATGGGTGAATCCTAATTTAATACTTTTTTTAATGGGGTCCGTCGAGGGATCCTGTGGTGCGTATTTTGCAAAAACATTTAACTAGTTTTTATAGTAAATTTTCGTAAAAAAAATCCTGTAATAACCAGTATTTTTTTAGAAAAATTTAATTAAAAACCTCAATTTTACAGGTTATATTCACAAAACTTACTCCAGATGACAGATTCGGTATTAAAAATTACAATGTTGCCAAGTTGTCAACGAAATTGTCAGTTTCAGGATTGTTTAAAATGTATAAATTACAAGATTATAAAAAACAAGAAGACGAAGCAACGACTTCTGGTGCAGATTGGAATCACCACTGGTTGCTTCCCAAAAAATATAAATAAAAAAAGAAAAATTAAACAATTATTAACTAATTTACCTAGCATGTGCGGTCTGGAGACATCTCGGGTTGCTTTGCGAAAAAATTTATGCATAAAATGAGAAAATCGATAACCAAATATGTATGTATGTAAGTTATGGTAAGCTTATAAAAAATGCCAAGTATCTAAGTAACACCGAAAAAATTAAAGGGGTAATTCTGTGATGAAAATTAATGTGAGTGTTTGGTATAAAATTTTTTGAAAAAACCCTCCCCGGAAAAGTTACACCCCTTCGAAAATTAAAAAAAAATAATGGTTTTTCTTTTTTATTTTCCCTGTATATCAAGCTAAAGACACGAAACTTGGTAAACACTGTCAATAAAAGTACACTTTTTGAAATTTTTTCAACCCTGAAGTATGCTTAGAAGGGGTTGAAATAATCAACCCCTAAGATATTTTTTCTTACAACTTTTTTTTAGATGAAAATTTTTTCTTTAAAAAAGTATGACTGAAAAGCCCAATTCATTGACTAACTTTTTTAACTCTACAAGTTTTTTCTAAATCTTGAGCATTTACAAGAAAAAAAATCTAATGCAATGCATTTTCAAAAAGATGAGCTAACGCGAGTGTATTTTGCATCAAGTCTAGTGGCCTGTGCTTTGCATAAAAACATTAATACTGATACCAGGATTGTGTAGTGTCATTTTCTGTTACCCATCTTATTGTTTCACAAGTTTTATGATTGAGTATTGTAGGAAATATTAGTTGATTGAAAATATGAATGCATATTCGAATTTGGAAATGGCAGATATGCATTTTACATATAGTACGAGATCCCGCTGCAAAATCACTACGTTCATTAAGTTTTGAGTGAAACACAAATTTTTACATGATTTTATGAATAGGAGAATACACTGATAACACCGCAACCAGTCAAAAGTGGCCGCAAGTAATTTTAATTAAATTAATGTTAATTAATATTCCAAAAAAAATTTCGTTTACTTCTCTTTAAAATAAAATATCATCCACATCATAACAATGCATGTAAAGAATTCTAAAATCCTTAAGTGCCGTTCCATACTCGGCCGCAACTACCTCGCAGCCAGGTGTAAGCAGGTAATATTTTGATCTATCTATACGTTTGTGACTTACACGGATGTTTTTTTATATCAAATTAAAGCTAATTTTTTTTCTAACATGATATATTGCTGCCTATGAAAAAATAGCCGCAAATTAGGAGTGCCATCAGTTAAAAACGCGAGATATCTGAGATCAAATGAGAGAGAGTTAGTGCGCAACGCCACTTGTTAGATGAGGATAGTGAATGCCAACTGTGTGAGTATTTGAAGCTATTGCGCATGCGTTGATAGATAGGGTTCTCATCCGGCGGCTCAAACAATAGTAGGAACGACTACATTTACTCCAAAATTATAATTACGTAATGAATATTATGGAAAAAAAAACTTAAAATAATGAGAGATTTATTTTATAGTAAAAAATTGTTTATTGATCAAGTAAAAATGAAAAAAGTTAATTTATGGAGTATAGAATTTTGGTTATGTCTTATTGTTTTACAAAATAAAATACTACGCATACTATATTTGATTAAATATTTTTCGTCATACTGTACTATTATCTTACCATAATATGAGCGAAATTGATATCGAAAAGGTGCATTTAACGGCCACCGGCCGTTAAATAAAATAACGGCCGCGCACCACCTACAACAATCACAACAATCTAAAGTTGCCTAGCAACCACATCAATATACTATACAAACATTGTAAGTTTGACAGTACTGTTTCTTGTTGAGTGATTATAGAGCGGAAAAGATCAAAGATGGAAGAAATTTTCGAAAACGATATTCCCTCCGATGTACTGGAAGAAGCAGCTGCGGCAACCAAAAATTTATTTCCGAGTACAACCCAACAAAGATATCAGCAGGAATACGACAACTTCGTGAAGTGGCGTCAGAATAAAAAGTTACATAGTGTAAGTGAAGAAGTACTGCTAGCTTATGCAAAAGGAATGTCTGAAACGTATTCTCCTACATCACTGTGGACAAAAATATCAATGCTGAAACTTGCGTTAAGAATACATGAAAACATTGACATATCAAGGTAAATTACTATAATATCCGCCAACATTGAACTAACTATATACTCATCGAAATTATGTTTGTTTGTAGATTCGGTAAACTATTCTTGTTCCTGAGGCGCAAAAATGAAGGTTATACCCCAAAGAAAGCCAAGGTTCTATCGGAAAATGATATACTTAAATTTTTGCTGAACGCGGATGATCATACCTGGCTACTGGAAAAGGTTGTGTTAGTGCTCGGTATTCTAGGAGCTTGCAGGAGAAGTGAACTTACGTCTCTCGCCATTAACAGTTTCGAAGATACAGAGAAAAACATCCTCGTATCACTAAAAAATACTAAAAATAAAAAAGACAGAAATTTTCTTATCCCATAAACAGGACTTCCATTTGATGCATATGGTTTATACAAGAAATACAGTAATCTGCGTCCTCCTAGTTAACCCTTTAATTTTTTCGGTGTTATTTAGATACAACCTGTATAACGTAACCATGACAAGGCTGCGTCAAGTGTCAATGCTGTCATGATTGTTAAAAAATGTGGTTTGGTTAGGTTTTTGATTTGTTTATGTTAAATTTATTTTAAATTATCCACTAATTTGTTGTTCCTTTAAAAGTTTAGCTGATCTTCATTAAAAAGTTTTCACTATCTATATTCAGAAATTGTAGAATAATTTTAGACTGTATAGGCACAGAAGCAAATTATATATTTTTTACAGACACACGAATTAGGCATTTCAACGACCTGTCAACAATAGCCACCAGAGGACAGGGCTAGTACATCTAAGAGGGTTGCGACATAGTCTTCCATCTTTAACGCTATTTTTTATTCGAAATAGCAGCCGCCAAGCCTGCCAATTTAAGAAAAAAATATAATTCGATATAAAATGTATAGTTTTTAGGATAAAATAATTCAATTTCACGTCCTGTTGACAGAATACATCGTATGTCGCAACCCCTTAGATATATCAATCCTTCCCTTCGGCAGCCATTTTGTTTGGAATGATTTGTATTAGGTTCATGTTCCTACACCAAAATTCATCAATTATCGAGAGCTCTCTGGGGTAGAGCGCGATAAGTCGAATATACAGAATTAAAAAATGTAAATCCGGGACTGGTCTTGTATATTAAAAATTACGCAAAATAAGTCTGTTTTTCTTTTTGTTTTCAGTTTTTCTCATGAATTCAATTGTGTACCGGTTATTGTAATTTAGTCGAGTGTGATTTCAGTAGCGTGTTTATCTCAGGAAGATCCAACAAGTACGCGACTGATTGCAGATTAAGTGGGAGTAAGTCAAAGAAAAGTGTGGACAACATTGCGGGAAATCAACTTCAACGTTTTTAAGCAGTACAACTTAAAGATTTACCACACAGTATTCGGTTTTGCGATTGGTTCTTACAACAGCATGAATGTGATAAATATTTTTCGACGAAAGTTCTACACATTATTTAAGTTATGCAGGACCGCATTGGATACATTTTGGAAGAAATATTTGTTTCTTATTTGAGTTTTTTGAAAAAGTTGTTTATTCTATACATAGTTAAAAAGTATCAATTTAGGATTCACCCTGTATGTATTGGATTTTAAAATTTCATACATTTTATCCGAAACATTACTTAATCCTAAAATTATCTGAAAATTGGATAATTATTCCATTGACAACACTCTAAGATAATAAAATGACTCACTGTTTAGGTTTGCACAGGAGCAAGGTTGAAATTTTTGTAGCCTAATTGCGACTGCTCGAAAACTAGAATTCAGGACGCTACAACTTCTAGTCCTGTCAACTAACAGCAACATGGAGAATATATTGATCGTCAGGGACAACCTATCAGATTATGATTGGAACAAGTAAAACAAAAGGAGCTGCATAAAAGTTATAAATAGACGTCAAGTATGTTTTGTTTATTAAAAAGAGTATGAGTATAAATAACATAATGCATTTTCATTTTATATTTATACAAATTGGTTTCCACTTGTACTGGGGGCAGTAGTTATAAAACTCTTACACAGAAACCGCCTCTGGGACTAAACAAAAAAATCGAACACTATGACAGGTAATAGAGACATATGACATCGTTGTCATTTGTCATGGTAATTTGTTTTGTGTAGAAACAAATACGTGATACACTTTGAGGTATTTTTCGCGGCATAAACCAACATGAACGTTTATGAGAGGTTATGTTATTTAGACATGTATAAATAACAAAATATATCATAAACGTTCATGTTGATTTATGCCGCGAAAAGTACCTTTTTGTATTGATGTCACTACTATCACGCTCCATTAAACAAAAATGCAGCGACACCTAGTGGCAACTTACAAACTATTTTTGGCTGATTGTCTTGTCATCCGGTACAACGATCAGGTTTAATATGAAGTGCTTTTATTTGTGGAGTAATTCACAAAAAATGTTTTTTTTAATCGGTTTGGATTTAATTTAGAGGCTTGAAATGTCACGACATGATTCGTATCTCCGTTTTTACAGCCAAAGCCTACTTTAGAAACATTATTTGTATGTCACATTAGCTTAAATTATTTCGACAGCAAAACAGCAGTTGATGATTTGCACAGGAACTGGATGAGTGACAACAATATAGACAACTGACAGCAATGTTGACAACTGACAGTAATGTTAACAACTGACACAATTGACAGCATTGTTGCCAACTTGATGTCTTAAATTATATAAAAAAATACAACTACATTTTAGTAAGTTAGGTTAAGATACATTACCACCGTCGCCATGACCCAAACCGTCCCTTTTGTCACTGCGAAACAACAACGTTCTTTATCTTTGTTATATTTATAAAAATAAACGCATAAAATTAATCTGAATTGTATTTTTTAATTCAATTTAAAAACAAAAAATATTTAAAATCTAAATACTTATTCTATTTGCTTCTTACCCTTTTTCCTTATAAAATTTATAAAAACTAATCTAACATAGTAATATTTATCATCCTTATCTAACTCTTCAACATTAACATAATCACAGCCATATTTCGTCCAATATTTACAAACAGAATCGTTTGTTTTCTCCAACAAACTGTCATAAAACTTTTCGCAAAACATATCAAAAAACTTACTTTGTATTATGAAAATAACTTCAAAAAATATTCGTTCGCTAGCTCCAACCAGTGAAAAATATAATTCACTGTACAGCAAATTCTTTACGATCTCGAATACCATAAAATTGGCATGTCGATCTTTGATTTGTTTAACTATCTTAAGAAGAACATCCAAAATTTTCGTCACTAACAAACCATCTTTCGAGTTGCCCCTCAAGATGTTCAAAACGTCGGTACAAGCTTGAGTTAAGAACGAAGTATTTTCGCAAAGGACTTTAACGCCTAAAGGAATGTCACAAATCGATTTGACGACGTCTAGAATCAATAATTTAGTATCGAGATCCGAAACTGAGCTGCAATACAGCTCAGAAAACAATTTGAAAGCCATGGATCGCATGAAATCCGAAAAATCCTTATCGGTCCTCAATCCGTCCCTCAGTAGTTCTAAAGTAAAATTCCTGTGCTCCTTATAATTAACATCGCAGCTGTGCAGAAACGTGTATAACTCAGGAACTGTACTGAAATCTAACGAGGATTTAGCTGTAAGATGTTGTGAGAGAGGTAAGTACATGACGTGATTGGGTTGCGTCAAAATCAATGCCATTCTGGCTAAGTAAATGGCTGCAAAATTGTTCAATTTGAAGTCTGGCAATAGCGCGGTACCTAAAAGAACATTAACAGTAAAAAAGGTCTAAAGATCATAATCATTGCATAATTAAAGTGAATAACAATAATTACTTATTATTACCTTTACAAACAGCTTCAACATAACGAATCCATAATAGATTGTCTTTACCAGTTTGTCTAGCGTCAACGTGGTAGTGAAATCTAGCTAAAACGTGACAAGCAGCTTGTCTGATTTCTTTGTCGGTGCTGCTTAAACCTATCACTGTCAGGCTTAGAGCTCCTAAAACAAAATAATTCTCAAATGGGAAGGAAATTAAGGCATACATTTCTAAAAAACTTAATAAATTGTGGGGGATCATAAAATTAAACAACTTGTAACAACATTAACAGAATTCTAACCTGCACTCTTTAGCCTGCTGAGCCATTGTGTTATCGACAGCACGATAGAAGTGAAAATTCTTAGATAAATTTGCTTTAGCTAATTTATTTGAAATTATTACAAAGTATTTGAAAGCATTTAAAAGTATTTGAAAGTATTTCCATATCAATTGGCGCCCAACGTGGGGCTTTAAAAAAAGGTATACAAATTTTAGCGTAAAGGCAGGGGAAGTTTGAACAAAATAATTTTAGTAAGGTCTTTTAACCATATTTAAATTAAGAAATGAATCCAGAGTATTACCCATTGTGTACACACCCCTCAACCTCTTCATATTTAAATTGTCGATTTTATTTGAAGAAAAATATGTAAGACTGCATGTTATAAGAATGTATGAGAAATTTGGAAGGTAAATAGAAACAATATAATTTCGGGATAGATTATTTGAGATATTTGGGTGACATTAAAAGTAGGGAAAACATAAGAGTACATAAAAAACAAAATAGATAAGGTGACGTGAAAATTTGTGTAGCATTAATATAAGAAGTTTTTCGTAGAGTTCTGGAAAGTTTAAATTGATAAAGTAGACTAATGGATCTACAAGGAGGAAAGAAAGTTGATATAATAGACAAGAACAGGAGAGAGATGATGAGGAGAACAAGTAGGACGAGGAGATATAGATAATTATTTGTTTTGATTATTACTCATTATAAATTTCATAGGAGACTGAAATGTATCAAATTTCCAGAGTACAAATAAAAAAAAGAGTATAACCCAGGTCTGGACTTAAATAAATTAACAAATTTAATTTACTTCAAAACATTAACGTGTATATCATAATTTTAAAAATTTGTTTGCACATTATTAAAAAAAGTCAAGTCTAAATAAGGGGATAAAAAAAAGTTTCCTAATTAATAACGATTCAAACTTATCCATAATTTTATTTCATTATGTTTAAACAAGAAATACAAACCTGATCTAGTAAATTTATAAGTCTGCACTTGCTGCTCGGGCGCCAATAGCTGACTAAACAGCGGCAACATAAATACCAAATCGTAACTTTTCTGATCATCAACGTTCAACAGATCGCTTTCCTCGGATCTTAAGTTATCTTTCAAAGGATAATTCGTAATCGTAGACGTCACCAAATCTTCCTGCAGTAAGTCGAGCACGTCGCTCATTTTTGGCTGTCTCAATAGAGCTCTTTCGATTTGATGCTTGACGGAATAGTGAGTTGCAGCTGCTTTTCCCCACAAAAACGGTTTGAAATCGTAGAAATGGGTTTGTTCTGGTTTAGATTCAAACCTAGAAACAGATTACCTTGTTCTTACAGATTCCCATCTAGACTATATAATATATTGATAAGGAAATGTCTTTATACTTGAAGGAAGTTTTCATATCGAGTAGCGCCACCCAACGTGGGGCGAAAATAACTTTAGCAAAAGTAGGTATTGAAATAATAATATTTAAAATAGTAATATTTGAAATGGAAATTAATAAAAATTATTAGATTTAAATTGTATTGAACTGTTGGTTTGGGTGTAAATTAATTATATTGTGTGATACTCGATAATCAGTATATTATCAGCTATATTATTAGCTGAGGAAGCAAAATTCGGTAATTAAGCGTAAATTATTATAAATAGCATCGAATTATGATAGAATAGTAACAGAATAACATAATAAAAAGTAGTTCCTATAAAGATGATGTGGCAGGCCCAAACGGTTACCCTACGAGCCGCCTATGGATCAAACTTCAACTAAGAACGAGGAGTGGGAGAGCGCTAGCGGGAATGGCGGAGACTGAGCTCTGGCGGGTTGACGCATGAAAAATGTTGTTTTGTGTGTTAATTTAATAAATTCTTCATAAAAAACCTGAGTTTTTTATAAAGTGCATGTTTCAATATGATAGCGACATAGTGTCAATATTATATATACCTGTGATACTCGTATTAATGGTAATTTAGAATAAATTGATATAAGGGGGCAATGAATTTGGGTTGATGGAAGAACGTGAAGAGATTATAGTACAAGGAGATATGGATCTACTGGATGAGAAACATTTGAAAGACACAATTAAAGAAAATCTATGAAAAAGAAAGAATGGAACAGTAAATACCATCGAATGATATCTTAGAGATGTTAATGGAAAAAATGCGAAGAACGAGAAGTAAAATAGACGAAAACAGTAAGGAAATGAATGAAAATACAAAGGAAATTAAGACCGAAAGGCAGAGAAGCATTGGATAAGAAAATGGATTGGTTGGAAAGAAAGATAGGACAACATATTAAAGAGAATGAGAAAGCAATGGTAATAAGATTGACAATATAAAAGAAAAATCCAAGATAAAAAATTAGAAAAATAAAATAAATTATAGATAATAACGATGAAGAAACAAAGAGAAGGCAAGTAGTCAGTATGAAATAAATTGGAAGAAGATAAATAAATTGAAAGTAAAAAGTTAGAAGATATAAAAATGAATTAAGATGAATTAAATAAACAAATCAATCAATCTTTTTATTCCAAGTTACCTTGTATAAGTATGGGAGAAGTCAAAATATAGTGTACCAAATTATGAAGTAGAAATAGAAAACACAAATAAAGTTATGAAATGGAAACTATAACTAAAACACAAATCCAAATAATATATTAAACAAATTTTAACTATATTTACGACTAAGTCTCAAGGGACTCGGAAACAGTTTAGAAAGCCTTTCTTGAAAATAAGCCCGTTTTAAATAGACAAAACAAAGAGGTAAAAGTGAAAATAGAAGAAAAACAGAAATTGAAGAAGTTAACGAAGAAAGATATGCAAAAAATATATAAAAAAATGAAATACGAATAAAACAAAAAGAAAAGCGAAAACTGAAGAATTAAAGAAGAAGGTGAGAAAGAAACATAAGGAAAATAGAAAACAAACTATAGAGAAAATAAGATAAAACAAAGAAGATAATATATACCCGTAAGAGCAGCAAGAAAAAAACATAAAGCCATTATATAGAATGGAAAATAAAATAAGGCTAAAATTAAAATAGACGCAGGAGGATAAAAGAAATAATAGAATAGTAGATAAAAATAAAGACAAAATGGAAATAAAATTAAAACAGATACAAAGGGGGTATGAAAGGAAACATAGAATAGATAGAGATGAATGATTGAAGTTAATTAGGAATCGGGGTTGACAGAGAAGGAAAGAGTGGGACAAAGCTGAAAGAAAAGTATTATAATTTAAATGGGGGATCGAAAAATTAAAATTAGATTTAGAACATGTAAATTGAACAGAAACTTTGAATAAAACAGAGAAGGATAGTCAATGAATACAGTTTAAGATAGACTAAATGTAAGAGTAAGTTAAGACGATATTTAAGATGAAATGATATATTTAATGTAAGAGAAATTCAAAAATATACGAAAGAAAATAGAGTAGAAAATAGACAAATGTGAGTTGATGATGTAAGGAAATAATTTATGTATATAAGAAATATACTGTAGAGATGAAATGTTTATACAATAGAAAGCTAGGAGAACAGGTTATAGAGAATGAGGAAGCAATGTGTAATAAAAGGGGCTATAAAAAACAAATTAAAAAATGTGTGAGAAAGAAAGAAATTAGAGATAACATTAAAGAAACAAAGAAAAGGAAAGAAGTCAGAAAGAAATTGGAAGATAAAAAAAATTAAAGTAAAAAGTTAGAAGAATAGAAATAAATAAAGAAGAAGTAAATAATACAAGGGGTACTAATTAACAGTGCTGTTCCTAAAGTGGTGCTGAGAAACAGTAACAAAGCCTACACAGAACACGAGGCTAATAACCATAGCAGTTGATGCCGATGACACAAAAAAAATACAAGACCAAGAAGTAAAGGTGGAACTAGAAGAGATAAACATAGAAACTGAAGAAGAAAAAGTCAAAGAAGAATAACAGATGCAAAATATAAAAAAGAAGGAAATATGAATACAGAAAAACGAAAATTGAAAATAAAAGAAAAAATATGAATATTAGAAAACAAAATACAGGAAAAAATAAAAAATAAGATAAAACAAAAAAGAAAACATACAGGAGCAGGAAGAAAAAACATAAAGGTATTATAGAGAACAAAAAATACAATTAGGGTAAAATTAAAACAGACACAGGAGGATAAAATAAATAATAGAATAGTGGATGAAAATAAAAGTGAGATTAAAGTAAAATTCAAACAGATACAAGAGTATGAAAGGAAAAATAAAACAGTACCTAACTAAAAATAAAGATAAAAAGGAAATAAAATTAAAATCGATATGAATGGAGTATGAAAAGAAACATAGAATATGTAAAAATAAATCATTCAAGTTAATTAAGAATCGGATATTGACAGAAGAGAAAAGAGTGAGGATAATGGTGAAAGAAAAGTAGTATAATTTAGATGGAGGATGGAAATCTGAAAATATTGATGAGGTCCTCAATTCTTGAACTACACAATGAAGGTATCATAATCTGTTAACAGGCATTTTCTTAATTTTAAATTGTATGTTTCTTTTAATAATATTGTAATGTGAGCCATTTCATTATTCAGTCATGCTCTAACCCTACAAGTCCCTCTCTGTCTTATTTGGCCTTTAAGGCTCAACTTGTCCGATTATTATACATAATTAAACCTATGAGACGACTATGGCGGAGGTGATTTCGATGATGTTCGAGAAAGGACGAGATAATAGTTCTGGACTGTTCGAAATATTTCTAGTATGGCGGAGAAGCTTCGCGACTCCACCAAATTTTAGAAATTTCTATATAAATATTGGTGGATGAGTCATCAGTTCAGTTATTATATGGACAGTGAAGATAAATAGTAATCAGTGATATATAGACAGCTGACAATAAAGTATTGGACAGTGAATATAAATAGTGAACGATTCAAAGACATTCGAAATTTATATACCTAAATTAAAAATAGTAGTGTTATAAATAAATAAGTGTTTAAATAAATTATTAATTAATAAACTGTTGTTTAAAATAAACAAATATCACATTGGTGTCGAGAAGTGGAATAGTGTAAATAAATAGTGGACAATAATGGCTAAAAAACTGTGTGAATTAAAAGTGGCCGAATTGCGTCGATAATTAGAGGATCGTGATCTGGAGACTACAGGGAAGAAAGCAGAACTGGCAGAGGCTTAAAGAAGCACTGGAAAGTGAAGGTTTGGATCCGGAAACGTATTTATTTTCTGATGATGCGTCTTCTATAATTTCTTCTATGGAAAGTAAGATCTCTTCGTTAAAAATCGAAATGTCTTCTATGAAAACCGATATTTCTTCTAACATTTCCTCATTAGAAACTAAAGTTTCTTCTGACATTACTTCCTTAGAAAGTAAAGTTTCGTCCGACATTTCTTCCTTAGAAGAAAAGGTGACTTCTGACATATCTTCTTTAAAAACCGAAATTTCTTCAGATTTGGAAAACAAAATCTGTTCATTGAAAGATGAAATTTCTTCTGATATGTCTTCTCTAAAAAATGAAATCTCTGCTGATGTGGAAAACAAGATGTCTTCTGTAGAGAAGAAAATAAAAGAAATGGAAAAGAAGATAGAAGAAATGGAACACGGAGACCAAACCAAGAACGGTGAAATAAAGTGCCATGAGGTAGAGTCAAAGTTGAAATTGGAAGGAGCTGTAAACTCTTCTCGTGTTAAAGCCCCAACTTTTGACGGAAAGATGTCTTGGACAAACTACCTTAAGCAGTTCGAAACAGCTAACAGAGCAAACGAGTGGTCTGAACGAGAAAAGGCAATAAATTTGACCATCGCCCTTCGAGGAGACGCTTTGGATGTCCTTCAGACTATACCCGTAGAAGAGACAGATGATTTTGAGCAACTCAAAAAGAGACTGAATATGCGATATGGCCACGAACACTTGGAGCATTTGTACCAGTCACAGTTGAAAAATCGTAAACAGAAACGAGACTCTTCAGGAATATGAAGTAGATATTGCCAGGTTGGTGCGATTTGCCTATCCATCAGCTCCGGAAAACATGATGGAATGTTTGGCAGTCCAAACATTCGTTGATGGACTCCGTGACCACGATATGCAAAAAACACTTCGTCTAGCCCGTCACAAAACATTGGTCGATGTCTTGTCCGCTGCCCTTGAATATGAGGCAGCTACACAGGCATCTGGGGGATACAATAAAGTAAGGACCTTAAAAGAAGAAGAGGAAGGTAAACTCGATCAACTGGTGAATATGATGAAGAGCCTTACTGACAGAAAGATAAAGACGAACACTATCAGGTGCTGGAATTGCGGTGAACTGGGACATGTACGCAGTTCGTGCAAACGCCCTAGGGTCCCAACAAATCAAGACGACACGCCGCAGGAAAACTAGAGCGGGTCGGCCTAGAGGGGGCAGCTTCGACCCGAAACCGTTCCAAAGACCCTCTCATACTGATAGTCTCTTTGAAATGTCGCGATGATAGTGTATACGTAGACGGCGAAGTAAATGGCAAAAAGTATACACTGTTGGTGGATACTGGAGCAACTAGGACTATTATACGACCAACAACTATAAATAACCGTAAGAAACCTCTACCAACAAGATTGCGACTACGGACTGCCACAGGTGAAAGTGCCAACATCCATGGGGAAATCCAGGTTCCGTTGGGAATTGGTACAGAAAAGTTCACTCATACTGTTATTGTCGCTGATATCGAAGAAGATGTTATTCTTGGAATGGATATAATGAACTTACGTGGTTTCCAGTTGGACTTTAAAAACAGAGTGATCAAAGTTGGTGCCGAAGAGGAATTCCTACATCCATATGGGGACAGTACCGTGCCAGTTGCTGTACAGGAGGATACGGTGGTACCTGGCAGAAGTGAAACCGTTATAGTAGCACGGCTTCAAGAAACTATGGAAGAAGGAACACCTGTCATGATGGAACCTTGGAACCACGATGAAGAGGTTGGACGAGGAATTCTGATCGGAAAGGGGTTGGTTACGACTGCTAAGGAGATTCCAGTCCGTCTTATAAACGTTAATGATCACCCGATTACCATCAAGAATAAGACAGAGAGGGACTTGTAGGGTTAGAGCATGACTGAATAATGAAATGGCTCACATTACAATATAAATAGTCTTATGTATATAATAAAGTGTTTACTATTTTTTTAAATTTTTAATGTTGTTTAAACTTGACTAGCCTGATAAGTGGCTTTCACTATGTGAATGTCCTATGGTGAATAAACTTATTTGATTTGTGTATAAAGACGAATGTATATGAATACTTAAGTATTTTAATATTAATTTTTATTAGTTAAATGTTAGCAAACCAACAGTTCAAATAATGAAAAGATAAGCCTAAATTTCAAATTTGTTACGTCAATTTTGCAAGATTGGCATATGAGAATTTCCTTAAACTCGAAGAAGGTTTACACATCAATACAGACACTTACATTTTTAAAAGCACCAAGATGATCCTATCGCATTTATTCACTTGACCTCGATAGCTGGCTAGCAAAAGAGGTACGAAATTTCGCTCCATGAAGTCAGGCCAAGCTTTACACAACACCAGATATAAAGACAATATTTCTATTTTAGTTTCTGAATGTTTCTTTAACACAGTCTCTAGAAATTCCGAATGAGACGTCAACATGTCCAAAATCAATCTACCGTCCTCTTTTTCTAAATTATTACCTAGTATTTCTAACAAATACCTCAAAGCTTCCAAAAATATTGGTTGCTGCGATACTCCGAATTTCAAACAGAATTTAAAGTATAATTTTAAAGATTCGTTTTTTGCAGTATTTTGCATATCTTCATTAACAGGAAGGGTTTTAAGTTTCTTTAAGATTTGTACAAATTGCGGTGCAATTTCAGTAGCTTTAGATATATCAGAATCTGATTTTAAACCTTTTTTAAACAAATTAATTTGAACGTGAACCAAAGTCATTAAAATATTGTTGATTTCTTTGCTGGTAATCGATTCATCTATACATTTCAGGTAAACTGTTTTTAATAGATTTACGTGGAATATTTCTGTGGTATCAAACTTTTGTACTTTATCACAAAAGGTTTTACAACTTTCTACAGGCATTGCTTTATCTAGTAGCTTAATAAGTCCTTGGTAATTCTGTTGAAAACTTTGGCCAGCTTTCTGCGGTTTCTGTAAAACTTTATTTAAAGATGCTTCTATTAGATCATAAATTTGTTTTAATAATTCTTCATCCCCTAATTTGCAAAGAACTTGTAATAATGGTAAGAGGAGACCTTTTTTCTCACATATAACATCTATTTTTTTCCCGACAAATTTAAGATATATTGGATCATTCTGAAGCAGAAACGTTGCTAACTTTACGTTTTCTTTATTAATTTCATCTAGTTCTATAATAGATTTGAATAAATGTTTGTCTATATACGCAAGATTGTGAGGAAATACTTTAAAGTATTCGAGAAATACTGGAGACAAAATGTTAAGAAATTGTGCTTCGTTTTCAGCAAGCAGCACATAGTAACTTGTCAATTTTTGTATTATATCTTTTTCCAAAGATTCCAAATTCGAATCTTTTTTGCAATTATCTGTAAGCTCGTTCAAACTATAATAAAGAATGTCAATAATCAAATCGTGTTTACAATACTTTTCGAAAGATTGAGATATAGCAGTGAGTATCGTAAAGCATTCGTTGTAACCTAGATGATACATCTGCAACAATGTTTTCAAATCCAGAGATATGTCTGTGTAATTTTGCGGTTTATTTAAAATTTTCAACACTGAATATAGCAGTTTTTCTCTATAAACGTTTAAGTAGATGTCGATGTTTAACTTTAAGTCTAATAGATATTTAGTAATGCTTATAATTAATTTTGTGGAATCGCTGTGTGATTTTTGTTTGTTCATATCTAAGAATTTTGTGTTGTAAACCAAAATTGGGTGACACAAAATTCTTTCGATTATTGCGGGATTTGATACCTCTTTGGTAATTATGGTTTTTATTAATTTATCAGAACGTTCAACGATATCTGTAGTTAAAGCATCGCTGTTTAATAAATTTGTTATGTAAAAAATTATCATGTCTAATAAATTTAGTTTTAATTCCAAAAACGTATTCAAATCAGTGGTTTTTAGGTTGTCAATGTTTCCAGATAAAAATTGTTCGCTCAGTTCCTTAAAAATGCTGATTCTGCCTTTCGATTTTTGTAAACTGACAATTTCTTTGCAATCTATCCAAGCTGCAGCGTAATCTTTAAAATGTGACGGTAATAAATCGATTTTATTAATATATACAACAATAGGTTGGATATTGGTTTGTAGGTGTAATAAATTTGTAAAAACAAAATTTATATACACTTTCAAAGCTTTCGAATGGTAATTTTTGGATAAAAATGTTACCAAACCGAGTACCATAGGACTAAGATATCTATGTTTTATCGGATATTTTTGAATTTCTTTAGAAAAATCGGTTTGAATCATCAAATTTTGAATAATTTCGCTGAAATGTCGACCCCTGCTGGCCTCGGATTGAATCGTTGATAATTCTTCCAAAAATTTAAGAATATTTTCGTTAGTTATTTTCAAAATATCAATAATATTTAGAGCGAGAGCTCCATCAAAGTTTTTTAAATCTAATATTCCATTTATCCATATATTAATTTCATAAAGACACCCATCGAATATTCCGGTGTTTCTGAATAGTTTATTCAAAACATCTAGTGTATGCTGTGAAGGATTGTTGTAATAAATTTTAAACATTAACGGTACAACAGAAGAAAACATTTTTGATTGTGCGGTAAATTTAGATTGATCTAAATCAACAAATAAACTGACTATCTTAACTTGCAGGTTTGCTAAAGGCTCATTAAATTCATCAGATTCTTCGTGGTACAATAAATTACAAAGTTCTGCATCGTTATTACTTATATTATCTAACAGCTCTGGAGAAATCATTTTATAATGATTCAAAATGTCTACTATTATTGCTAAATTTTGTAAATTAGTAAAATGTGAATTTTTGTCTAACTGGTCCCAATCTGTCAGGATTTTTAGCGCATCAGGAAAATTTTTCGAAACATGCTTATTTAACATTAATTCAAATTTCGCTTGTTTATCGGGATTTAAAAACGTTTTTGTTAATGTTACATATTGCTTAACAGCTTTTAACATTTCCAGAAGTAAAGAATAAATGTACTGCTTTACTGAAGGACTGTCATAATTGACATTTTCCGGTATAATTGTCTTTAATATCGGTAGAGGTAAAACGAGACATTGTACTATTTGAAATAACTAAAAAAATAATATAATTATGATAATAAATTAATTGATAATGAAAACTTACTTGTATTTCAGATAACTCCCTTATACAATATTCGATACAACTGGGTTGAAGTTGTTTGACTAAAGTTATGGCGAATTTCATGGCGCTGACCCATTTTGGGGACATTCTGGGTTCCAAAAATGATTTCAAATTGCTCCACAGTGTTTTTGATAAATCGGGAGAGGCTCCGCATATTTTTGTAACAAATTCTGATGCGTAAGAGTGTTCCCAAGGTCTAGGAGAGAAATATATATTTTTTTATGTTACAATAAATAGTAGTTTGTGCAACAAGAGTGGATATGATGGCCATATCGCACGAAGATGAAATTTGAGCACGACGCCGTAGGCGGAGTGCTCAATGGTCTGAGTGATGTGATGTGAACAATCCACTCGAGTTGTATATTTTTTTCTACGTCCCACTAACGAAAATTTACAAATAAAAAAAATATTTTAGGTTATCGAGACAAAATAAATAATTTATGACTTTTAATAATTTTGAAAGTAAAATAAACGAAAAAGAAAAAAAAGTTCATTTAATTTTTCCCTATCCGATAATCGAACGCTGATCGCAGGACCACCTATTCTTTTACTTTTGTTGCTTTAATACTCGTAATTAAATTGACTTCATATAGTTTTATTTAAATAAACAAATTATTTATAATTATAGACGAAATAAAAGCAGAAATGCTATTATTCATCGATTCTACACAAGAATAACCCATTTTAATAACTAAAAAATATATTGACAATTAGTTTGACAGAATTAAAATTTAAAAAATAGTAGCAGTTGGTTGATCAAAATATGAACGGTGATTGGTGGATTTCATTTTTTTGCAGTGTTCTCACTATAGGTCATTCACTGAATTTACACCCATATCGGATTAAGAAACAGATGCACGACTGAGCCGGTCTACAGGATAATTTCGCATCAGGTAGTTGAGTAAAATAAGCGTAGTCCTCCGGTGGGTAGAGGGTGAATATATTTTAATTATTAAAAGCTTATATAGTATGTAATTATGTTTATTAAAATTAAATTACTAAAGTATGTAACATTTTAAAAGGCTAATTATAAAATGTTATTTTAAATGTGTGCCATCCGGTATAATTTAATTATCGCCAACACACAATATTCTAAAGAAAGGGAAATTTCTTGAAGTGGGAGTACCACTAACCAAAGGATCTCAAATTAGATTTGTAAATTTCATTTTATTATTACCTTTCGATTGTATCGGTGGTGCATTTGGCTGTTAAAGTGGTAAGCATAAAAAGTATATAATGTCTTTATTAAATATCTCAGTAGAAATATTATTCAAACCTTTTGTTAATTATTAGTTTTTTTAATAGTAAATTTAAATATATTTTTATGATTCATTCTGGTTGCTAGAACGGCACAATATGTATAGTCACTAGTTTTTATTATCTGATTGGTTCATTTAAAAAAAAAAAAAAGTAGATGTTTCAAATTTATATATCGTACAGAACCACGTGAAAAACAAAATCTATTTTTGTCTAGCAAACGAATGGAATCAGCCATAAGCCATAACGACATAAGCCCTAACGTCATAAAACCATAATTCAACCGCTGTAATCTGAACGTTGGTTCTCGAGGAGCAGAAATCTCTTATGAAAAGTTAGTTGATTGGAAAAGCGACAGCTACAATTCGAAGCTTCATAAGAAGAAAGATTAACCGACAAAGGCGTTGGTTTCCGTAGGACAGAAATCTCAACTACCTATATCTAGAAGTGGTTAGCTAACAAAGTAAAATGTGGTAATTACTAGTGACTAGAATTATTTATGTACGAATCACAATTTGATACCTGATAAGTGTGAATAATTTGTTTTCGAAAAGGTTTCTTTTTTTAAATAAAATCATTAATTTTAATTATATATGTTGAATCTTATTTTTTAAAGGTCACAAAAAAATTCTCTTTCATTCACTAAATTCTGTATAAGTTTTATTAACTTCTTTTTATTGATAAAGCTAGAATTTATAATTCTCACTAGCTATTAAAAATAAAAAAGAGAATTATTGGTGCCCAACATTTCCTAGAAAGATTACTACCCTTAAAATTGTCTATTTGAAAAGCCGAATTCACGACCGAGAAAAGGATGTGCTCATTTATTTTTTTTTTTTTTATTTTTAAAGGTAAGTAACGTTTGATATTGAATTTCACTGAGCTAGTAAAAATCTCTATAAGTGTTTTGAAATTAACATTTATCAAAAAGGTAACAAATAATATTGCAAATTGTAGCCTAACGGGACAATGGAATATTGCAAGTAATATATGAACAAATGAAAAATATTTATAATTTTGTTTTGGACATTGTTTATGGTAATACCATTTCCCAGAATAAAATAAACGCTTCATGATCAGGAATTTCCGGAAGTCCCCTTCTCAGGTATAACATTAAGATTAAATGTTCTATTTTTGTAATGATGTTATAGGACTAATTGTGCTAAATTATTTAGCGTGTTACGTGTAGATGACTTAATTTGTAATCTACATAAGTATTTTACGACGGAAAAAGATAACGGAGGACCTTTAAAGCCAGTAGTGAGTGTGCATGAACACGTCTGTACAGCTCTTGGTATTAGTGATTCAAAATTAAAATATGTTTTGAAAAACGTCAAAAGCGGAGAGAACAAATTGGTGAATTTGGCAGAACAAGTCTTTGGAAGTTGCTTATTCTCCTGATATTTTATTAAAAATTGGTCTTAAAATTAATAGTGCAACCAGAGCTAATGAAACTTTTTTTTATTAGACACCATAGACAAAATTACGGCTTTTATAGTCCATCAACACGATTGGCTAGGAGTGCTAACAGTATAGAAATAGACTTGGATTTTTTTGGTTCGTCATATCCTTCATTTAAAAGAAGTATTGCTAACCACTTTCTTAATGACACTTGAAAGTAGTGTTATTGTCTGCCTTGTTAATCAAATGTTTTAATCATATGTTTTAATCAAATGTTTTACATGATACAATTTCTTATGTTTTTTATTTTGTATTTGTGCATATAACATATATTTTTATATTTTTTATTGTAAAATGGGGTTTTCCCGTAAATAAATAAAATAGGTTTCAAATTTAAGAAAGAAGATAATAGAAAAGCTTTATGTAAAAAAAATAATGTTGTTCACAAAAGAATACATTTTTTAAGAGAATACACTCGTTTAAAAGAGAATGGAGCTTCGTTTATATATTTGGATGAAACCTGGATATTTTCCAAAGGTGGGACGAAAAGAATATGGCAAGATGAAAATATAAAATCAATAAAACATACTAATGGTGAGGGAAAGCGACACATAATCTTGCACGCACGTGGAAAGAATGGATTTGTGGATGGTGCAGGATTAATATTTTCCTCTAAATCAAAATCAGAAGACTACCACGATAACATGAACTCGGATATGTTTATTAAATGGTTAAATGAAAAACTATTACCAAATTTAAGTGAACCGTCTGTTATAGTGTTAGATAATGAGAGCTATCACACAGAACTTTTAAACAAACCGCCAAGACAGAATTGGACTGTAGCCAAAATACAAGAATGGCTACGTACCGAAAATGTTGCATTTCCACAATACGCCCTTAAATCTGAGTTGACTTTAGCCAAATAGCATGAACCACCAAAATTTATATGGTAGATCAAGTCATACATAGTTATGGACATGACGTGTTACGAACACATTTGGGGTATATGTAAAACGTATTATGACAATCATATTGGAATTAATGGTTACAGCGACGAAGCAGTAAGGGAAATATGGAAACCAACACTGGATACATCAACTCCAGAAATTTGGCAAAAAAGTGTTCAAAAATGTAATAAATTAATTGACGACTGGTGGACACGTGAAAACGGGATAAACGAAATTAACCCTATAATTATATCCCTTAATGATGACAGCGACGCTAGTGACACAAATTTTGAGAGTGATGCTGAAGATTTATAGGTATATCAAAAGACAATTATTTATAATAATCACTGTTTAATATAGAATTTTATTTTTAATCATCGTACTTACTTAATCGCAGGGTAAAACTGTGCATGTAAATTAAAATTGTTGTTCTGAATAAACTATTATTAAACAACAAAATCATGTAACTATCTCTTTTAAGCTTTCTGATGTAAAATTAAATACCTAAAATTTATATTTATTTTGTTTCTATAAGAACCCCTTGCAATATACAAAATAACGCCACCCATGAGTAAATGTTTAAAATACAACTGACCAGTCAAATCTTTCATTTATTTCTAAATCCGTAATGGGTGTAAATGACCTATACCTAGAATGGATATGAAATATATTCGTTCAGTTGAAGGCAATAGCATACTTTTTCGTTTTGTAATCTGTGCGTAGATAAGCTAATATCCATGTGGGTGTAAAAAAAAGTTATATTAGTTTGTCTTGTCTAAATATCGTATTATAATTACAATTTTTTATTGTAACTGTAACTTTTAATTAAATTAATTGGAATTTTCTATCATTTAACTGTTCTTTAACTTTACATGACTAATTCAATTTTATTGACAGTCTCCGATTGTCCAGAAAGGTAAATTTATAAAAGAATAAAAAATACAATAAAGATATATCATACTATACAGTGTGTCTCAAACAGTTTGCAACAAATGTAAAACTTTTCTATTTTGTTCTTGAGAAAAAAATATTCCTTTAAAAATGATATAAATGTAATACATTCAAATAATTAATTTGTACGAGGAAAATAAAAAATACGAATTTGGTTCAAAACTAAAGTACACTTATTAAAAAAAAAAAAAAAAAAAAATATAGAAAAATACGTAATCTATCTTAAAACAATATATTTTTCGTTGTATTAAAATTGGAAATGAACTGTTTTTTAAGGTATTAGATTTAAGAAATAATAATGTAATGAAAACAAAAAAAAAAGGAAGTTCCCCTCTTACTTTATTAGGCGCAATATTTAAATTATTACACCTAATTGGCTATTGCACCTGAATCATTATGCATTATACAACCAGAATTACACCTAAATGTACATATGGTTGAGTATAACAACAACATTAATGTTTTGGACGATTCCACAACAGTTTCTTTTTATAAATAAATAAGTCGACCTTCGAAAAAACTTAAAATAAATATGTAAGATTTTCTTTATATTTTGTGGGACTCAGATAAAAAAGGATAATCTTGTTGGATTTAGTTAAAAAAAATTTGTTTTGTTTTAACTTTAACACCTTGACTACCAGAAAAAAAAAACGTGTGCTTGACAGACCATTATTATACCTAGGCTGTTAAAAGCACCATTGCTTCTCATGCTTTAATAAAATATTGGTATGTGTGATATCATGCTGCTTTTCGATGGCAGTAGGACATATTTTTTGACGGCCTGGAAAACTATCTTATGCATTGCCCATGTTTTTATCGGATCTACATTGGCTCAAAAGTTTTAATCCATATGTTGCTCACAACACTTTATTTTTCTATATTATGATGGCAGAAAATAGGTAATACATAGCACTAGTATCACTGATCACTGGGAATCTTTCCTTTTTATGTATTTAATCTGGTTTCCAGAAACTGCTGCTTAAATATTCCCTGGGCATAGAAGACACAGAGTTAAACGTTTCTCAATATTTATTGCATTATAAAAAAAAATATTTAGGAACAACAGTGTTGGATGTATTGGTAATTTTTCTAATTGAAAGGTCTATAGTTCAAATCCCAGCGATAACCAAGATTTTTATTTAATTTATTTATTTAAAAATAATTCTGATACATAGGTAGGATTCCTCACTGTGACCATTCACTGTTGGGTTCTAATTAACAGTGCTGTTCCTAAAGTGGCGCTGGGAAAAGGTAACAAGGCCTGTCTGTAGGGGTGCAGGAGTATTAGAGTACCAGTACTCCTGCACTATGGAGTATTAGACTACTAGTAATCCAGAAACAACACATAACACAAGGCTAATGGTGTAAGTTGTCAAAGCTGAAGACAACAACAACAACAAAAAACACTATTTGGAAAAAAGTTAAAGTAGACACTTCAGAACGACTCATCACTACATAAAACATATTTTTTTACAATTAATCAATAGTTATAAGAAATAAGTATTTTATATAATTACTGTATCACAGTCTAAGTTCTAATACGCTTTATAACATAAGATTTATTTCAGTTTTGAGTTTAGTGGTTTGATTTCTAAAGTCTTTAGTGTAGCATGCATCTTATTCCATATCTTTTGAATAGAATATTCAAATTTTTGTCCGAATACAACAAATTTGTCTTGAGAGAAGACTATCTGTATAAGACTGTTGTGTAAATATTCTCACAATTCATATTAAAGAAGGTTTTATTGTAAACTTAGAAAATGTATCAAAAACAAAACTTTATATAAAACTTTTGCAAAAGAGTTGTGTAGAAATTCAATTCTAGTTTTATACTTATTCTATGATCTACTAATTTCAGTATTCAAAAACAGTTTTATATAAGTTTCATACAATGTTGTACCTATATCAATTCATTTAGGCAGGTAAACAACTAACTTTACACCAAGAAAAAACACTATGTAGAAGATTATAATATTAAACTAGGTTAAATCTAGTATTTTAACTAAAAACTATTGTAAAGGCTTAAAAAAATATGTGGGAACTAATTTAATATGAAACAGTTCACATCCAACTTTGCTAGAAGGAAAAAATTGAAAAATATTGTTAGGGTACAAATTCATAATTTTTGACTTCCTTTATACACATGGTATTTTTTTAAATTTTTAAATATAATATTTTAAAATAAGCACTATGCCTTCCAAGAATACCTTTTTCTCAAAGTCAACAATAAAAAAGTTTTTCAAATAGTGCAAGCTTTTTGAAACATGCTGTATATTATGTACTTACATAAATAATAAAAAGTTTGATCAACAAAAAATCTATAAAAACAGAATGTCTATGCAGGTGTCATGCAGTGTACAAGCCAATTTTGACATATTATGGATGTGAGACAATATACAAGAACAAAACAATAAAGTAAGATATGTTTTTTCTCTTTTACATTTCTTACCTATCCAAACTTTCCAACACAGTATACATAAGTGCATTTTGGTTCTTTTTTCCTAGTCCAACCAAATGATCTTTGAATATAATTCCATACTTGTGGCTTGTGCATAATACCAGTAAAAAATCATGAACTGCTTCACTCACTTTGGACTTTTCAACTTCATTGACCTAAAAAAAAGGGAAATTTTCCTAATTTGCTTACAAAACTATTTTCATATGTATACCTACTCATCAAGAATCTGTATTTTCCTTATTTATTTCTAATGACTTAGAAGTAAAACAAATTTAAATACAAAATATGAAGTTTGAAAATAAAAGGTAGAGTTTATTGGTGAAATAATAGTTGATTATATTCTGGACACAATTGATATAATGTACATGTTGCATATTATGTAATATCAATACAAACTTCAATGGAAGGATACATAAAAATAAAACATAATATGTGCAGCATACTAATTCAGCTATATTATGTTAATATAAAATATGCATCTAGATAAGTAAAAAATAATGAAAAAAGAAAAACTACTTAGTATTAAATGTTAACATTAAGTCTAAGAGAATTTGTTTAAATTTTAAATTAAATTTTGAAATACTATAAGCTTTTATTTCTGGCAAGATTTAGCTGTATAAATAGCAAATTTGGTGTCTATATTAACACCTGAAAAACTCTTGGTGAAGGAAGGAACAGTCAACAATCCTTTATTTCTTATATTTATGTTATCGACACCAGAACTATATTATTTTATGATGTAGATCAGGTGTATTTTTACTATTATTTTATGACACAAAGTGATAAAAAGTAGTTTCTCCTCCTGCCCTCCAAATTTAACCATCAAACTTTACTTTATTACCTGTTATAGAAATTTACTTTAATATTTTTTAGTGATGGGACCAACAAATATTTCTGAAAAGTTAACTAGTTCAAACACACTTTTCAAAAGCGGAAAAGTATATTGCACTGATAACTGACTTTTATGTTTTAAAGATGTTTTTGAATTTTCCTTTCATATCTTATTAAAATAAACACAAAAAAATCCAAAGATGGAAGTATTTTACAATGGATTTAATTAAAAAAAGATGAAAACACAAACACTGTTCCTAAAGTATTTTTGAAAAAACTATCAGGATAGAGATTTACTTTTAATTGTGTATTTGATGCCCAAGATTGACTACTTTTCACTACTGTTCCATTGAACTAGTCCAAAAATTACTTTTCATGAAAAGTCCCATCACTATTTTTATATTTATTTTGCGACAATGTGATATTGTTACTGTTGAACATTTAGAATTGATGGAAGTAGAAAAAAATTAAGTACTTACTGTAACAACTGAACTTTTATTTTTCTTCAAAGCCCTGAATCCAGCCGGCCCTTTCCAATTATAAAGATTGACAATATCTCTGATAACAACTGTGTTAAAAGTTTTCATTTTAGCAGTTTTAGAAACAGAAGGATTCTCCAATATAAAATTCTTCATAGCAGATACGACCAAACAAAGAGTGTCAGCAGAATCGAATTTTAATCCAGTTATTATACTAGTAAAGAAACCCTTTTTCTCCAGTAATACCGACAGAGCTGGATAATGTCCATCAACCAAATAAGCTGTTAAAAATTGTATAAAATTATCTCTAACGCTATCAGTTTCTCCAGTATGTTTGGTTAACAGTTCAACATTAGATGAATGGAAGTTAACATGCATTAAGATATCTTTGGCTAGTATTGGAGAGAACGCCACCATTGCTGTAAGAAGTTTTAGACATGATTTTCTTTCTGGAGTCGTTGAACTCATGTTTATCATTTTGTTTATAACAGTAATGTAGTTGTTCAGAAGGTAACGACATGATTCATAAGCAGAACTTTGATATTGAGGGTAAGATGAGCTTATTCTTAAAAGAATATGAGTTATTATCTCGAAAACTGCGGATGGAGGGATTGCTGAGTTCTGTTCCAACACTTGTAGTAATTCCAAACAGCTTCCTCCATTTTCTAAGTATTCTAATATGTAATCATGGCTTTCAGAGTCTTTTATGGCGTCTAGGAAGTTTTGTAATGCTAAAAAATAGGCTATCAAGTATACAATTTTAGGTAATTCGGTTTTAAAATACCTGTAAAGACATTCGGTGTGGATATTTCTTTCCTAAATATTTTTGCTGAAAATAATTTTGGTTTTTTAACAGGCTCGCTGTTCTCTATTTGATCTTTGTTAGCTTGTTTTTTACCCATTTTCACTCAATTTGTATTTTCATATTATTAAAAACTCGCTCATATAAGCAATTATTATATAAATATAATTGAAAATGTGAAAATTGTATTTCAATTTGTGTAAACTCAAAACATAACCATGACATAACCTAACTAATGCACGTTTTAGAATTATGACAGCTGACAAGAGAATACTTCAATTTCCTTCTTCTTTTTGCATATATATGGACCTCTATAATTCATGATTTAATGCATTTTTTTTAAGAAAATTGTTTTTACCACTTTTTCGTTAACAAGTGATGTTATATAAAAGCAATAGTTCATTAAAACACTTGTCTAATTTGTATAAACACATATATACTTCTTCTTATTATACAATTGGCTTGAAAATCGTCTTGTATATGAACCTTTTAAACTTTTGTATGCGTAAGAAAGTTTTAAATCAGGAATCGACCTTCCCAAAAATAAAATATGGCATTTTTTAGCCAGCGAAAGTCTAAAAAACATCACCCGATCCCCGTTCACCGTGACCCGATCTGACCGCCCGAATACGTCAATTGAGGGCATTGCAACTTTTAGCCCTGCCAGCCAGCAACATCAGCTAAACGAAAATATATTGAACGCCAGGGACTGCCTGCCAAATTATGATTGGAACAAGTAAAACAAAGGAACCGTATGAATGAAGTAAATAGACTTGGAATATAATATTTTTAATTAAAAATAGTACGAGTAAATAATTTAATGCGTTGTTATATTTTCATTTTATATTTATATAAATTGGTTTCCCGATAGTCTTACAGACAAGCTGTCACTGTTATTAATACTAATTTTATTATGCTTATTCGCTCCGTGCGTGACGACAGCGCTAATTAAAATATGTACTAAAGGGGGATTTTTGTGTATTGACAGTATCATTTTAATAGAATTCCTAGTTCAAAAATGTATTTTTTGCTTTTAATAAAAGTATATTGATTTATAAAACAAGTGAAAAAATTCATTAATTATTATTATATATTTTTATTGCTTCAGCTAAAGAAAATTAAGTATATTTATTAAAAAAATTAAAAAAACATGTGCACAGAACAGGTAATTAGGCAACAGTATTTACGAGAAAGTGTATAAAAAGTTGCCTAATGAAGTTGAAGGTTAATGTAAAATGTGTATTCAAAATTTAATCAAAAAAAAAAAAAAAAAAATAGTTGTAATATTGTAATATTTTCGAATGTAATTTTTACTTGTTTTCTTCATTTTTAGTTCGAATGAAAACATAATTAATTATTAAATAACTGTTTTCCAATCAGTGAGTCACAAAATTGCATTCCAGATACAGACAATAATCAGAATCAAAGGCAGAAATATTTCGATTTTGAACATAATGTACTTAAGGAATTTTGTAGAACGTCGTATAATAATAATATTAATTTAAGTATATAAAACATTTCAGTTTTCTGAAGCCTACAATTTTCAATAGGTATTAGATACTCTTGTTGCAAAAATAAAGGTTTGTAATTACTTTTCCCTTCTTACTGCAATTATAGGTACGTTTATTTCTTTAATTTTATTTCCATTTTGCTACTGAACATTTATAAAATACACTGTTTTTTGCTAGTATTGTAAAAATACGCCAAAATTACAGAATATCGCCCTAAAATGCACGAATTATCCGCAGCTTGTGCTAGTATCACTTTTGCTGACTTCGCGCTGATCGAATAATAATTATTTTCTTTCAAATTTCATGCTATAAAAAATTAGTGTTCCGAGAATTGACGTAAAGCTGCACTACTAGCAGTATGCATTTCTACTCTTTGGTATATCAGTCTTTAGTCATTTTAAATGTACTGATGTTTAATTCGGGAATTCCGTATTTAAACACGGAATTCTGTATTCAGATACAGAATTCCGTATTCAGACACAGAATTCCGTATTCAGACACGGCATTTTGTATTCAGACATGGAATTCCGTATTCACTCTCTTTCCAGGACAGTCTTAGTTCTTAGGGTCTAGTCCCTGATGCCCAAATTAATTTCAGTCTCAAAAACTGGTTGAATTACGGAAAACAAAGGTTTTGAATATCAAGTTTTGTTTTAAGTAATGACGCTAAATATGTTTAAAATAACAGAAATTCATTATATATAAAACAGATGAAAAAGCTAAATAGACCAAAACTGGTCCAAAAATGTTTTCCATTTCAAAAAATCTCAAAAACTGGTTGAATTACGGAAAACAAACGTTCTGAATATCAAGTTTTGTTTTAAGTAATGACGCTAAATAGGTATAAAATAACAGAAATTCATTTTATATAAAACAAATGAAAAAACTAAATAGACCAAAACTGGTCCAAAAATGTTTTCTATTTCAAAAAATTTCAAAAAGTGTTTATTTTACGGCAAAACAAACGTTTAAATTTGAAGTTTTAAGAAATTACGCTAAATAGGTTTAAAATGGGAGAAATTCATTATAAAAGAGATGAAAAAGCAAGATAGACAGAAACTAGTCCAAAAAACTTGTTCTTAAAAAGTGTTTATTTTACGAAAAACAATCGTCGAAAAATGGTGACCTCATAAAAATATACTTATACCCAAATATGCGCATCTAAAAACAAAATCCACTTCTGAATGGAAACAAAGAACAAATAATATGTTCGTCGTGTATGGAATAAGGGCGGCTCCGGGGCGGTTCCGGGGCGATTCCGGGGCGCGGGGGCTATGGGAGGCTATGGGGGGCTATGAAGGGCTATGGGGGGCTATGCCCCCAGGATCAAAATTCTTGTATTAAAAAAAATATGCTAAAAAAGGAATGGCTAAAGACAATGCCCCCCCCCCCGAACATTCGTCTTGAAGCTGCCCTTGGTAAGGAAAGGTCGAACGATTCGGGGTCAATCGTTTATCTACACCCACTCCCCCCTCCCCCAGCCATCGAGAGTACCTTAAAAGTTAATTTAAGATAAAATTATTCAGCTAGACTAAGTAGAGTATTTGGGACCAAATTATGAGGATTTTTAGGAGATCCGTATTTACCGTCCCCGCTACTAATTCTGCAAGTCCCTTAAAAGCAACCTGTAAATATGCCATTAAAAGCTATAGCTCGAATATACGAGAGTCATTCAATAAGTAAAGAGACAAATGGCTATAGATCAAAACCGGTTTTTTTTTTCAATCTTAGGGCGTAGGGGATCTTTGAGTGGTCCAAACAGGTAAAAATCAGATGAAGCGAGGTCGAGACTGTAGGCAGGATGAGGTAAGACCTCCCAAACCAATTCTTAAAGCCTATCACGGGTCAGCTGGGATGTATGAGGGCGGGCGTTATCATGCTGAAGAATGACTCCTTTTGACAAGAGTCCACGGCGTTTGCTCCTGATAGCTGGTCTAACTTTGTTTTCTAGTATCTCAAAGTAGTATTGGCTATTGATAGTTCGCTGATCTTCAAGGAAATCGCAATAGACTGGACCCTGTGAGTCTCAAAAGATGGTCAGCATCACTTTACCGGCGGAAGGTTGAACCTTGAATCTTTTGCGAACTGGAGAGCTAGTGTGTTTTCACTCCATACTCTGCCTTTTGGTCTCAGAGTCGTAGTGATCGATCTGGACCCCGTCGATGGTCACTATTCTTTCAAAAAAAGCGTCTCCTTCAATCAAACTTCGTTGTTTTAAGTCTTGACTAATGGAAAGCGTCAGTAAGCTGTCTGGGAACCCATCTGGCACACGTTTTTCTGTACTTTAAATTGTTCTGAATGACATTGTGAACAGTTCCAACACTTACTAGAGCTTCCTTCGCTATTATTTCAACAGTAATTCTTCTGTTATCACGAATGAGTCCGTCAATCCTCGATTCTAACGAGGGACCAGAAATTTCCACTGGAGGTCCACATCGGGGTTCATCACTTACACTTGTTCGGCCACTTTTAAACCGATCAACCCACTTGTAAAAATTCGCACGGTTCATACAACTTTTACCGTACTGTATCAACATTCTAGAAACAATTTCACTTGGTTTTACACCTTCTGTGACTAAAAATCTAACGACTGAGCGCTGCTCTTCTAAGGTGCAATCTTCTAGTGGACTTGCCATGGTGAATTGAAAATTTTGAGGTTATGTTGACATAAAATGAAGAAACAGCTGATCAGAGCATATCCCAAGGTTGCCAACTAACACCCCTGAAAAGATTGTACACATTCATTGAATATTTTTAAAATTATAGAATTTGTCTCTTTACTTATTGAATGACCCTCGTATAATTCCGCGTTTGAACACGGAATTACTGATTTCCCTGTTTGAATACGGAACGGGAAATTTATAATTCCGTGTTCAAAGACGGAATTTCAGAAATAAAAAATTAATAAAAAATGTGGCCCTTCTGCGCTGCCGTAAATTTTACTTTTGATACTTAACAACAGTTTAAAAAACATTCTAACGTCTTATCATTTGCTTATACAGGGGGTGGGGTCTAAAATCATTGATCGTTTGCTAACGTAATACTTAAATGCCCTCTTGGGTCCAATTTTTTCAGGTTTTTAAATTATTTCCCCATTTTGTCCGAAAATTAATCAATATTTGATTTAATCCCCGACTATTTACTATGCAGATACTATTTAGAAGTTATTTAATATTTTCGGTAATTTTCCCCAACACGTTTTCAAAATTTGTTAATTTGTCAATATTCAAGGTAAATTCTAATTAGATTCATTACAATACAAACCATCAAGATTGGCTTTTAGAAAGACAATAGAAACATGGTTGTAAACGCCTCATTGTCATTATTTCGGGTGGTGGAGTAATTAACACTTATTTAAGACAATATACAGACACAAATTTATGTTCAGTTTTGGTTTTTCAATCGATAAGGTAAGTAATCCTTTTTTGTAGTCCCATAATATTTAGGAGGTATTGAATTGAAAAAAGAAAAACGTACAAAATAAAGGTAGTCTAGGATAGTTTTTATGTATTTATTTAAAAAACTTTAGGAAAATTTAAGTTTAATAAAATACCTACCATATTTAAGATATTTGATTTTTAAAAATAAGAAAAGTCATTATAATAGTTAAATAAAGAATTTTAGTACGTTTTGCGATTAGCTTTGGTCGACAACAATCATTAGGTATAATCGTTTTTTAATACCATAGGTACCGAAAATTATATCATCTGTGTTTTGCCGGTCTATAGGTATGTATTATAGCAATTGATTTTAAATCATCAACAAACATTAAAATTTGCGAATCATTTAAACAGTGCCTCATTTTCCATTGATAAAGAAATTAAATAAAAGAGGACCTAGGTACGATCCCTGAGGATTTATTTATGTTTTTATTAATGTATTCCTTTAGAATTGCCATATTAACCAATGTAGACCTTTGTCAATCATTCAATTTAGATTTAATTCATACTTTCACTCTCTAGAAGAATTCCTTTCGGCTATTAGAAACTATTATAACTATGGATACATTTTCTAATAAAAGTCCAGCTTTAAACATTCACGTATTTTTAATTTTAAATACTTTTCTTGCTGGATTTCTGTTTTTAGGGTCTACTGTTTCCTATTTTTAACCAATTCCTCCATAGTGATCTTTCCTTCAATACCAAATTCTTTAATTTTATCATTTTCTCTAATCTAAACTGTCTTATTTTATCTATCCATTTCTTTGTGGGTCTACCATTTTTCTATCTACATACCTGCCCAACAACGTCCTTTTCCTTTTTTGTTTCATTCTTAATTTAGTTGTTATTGTTGTCCACTTTTTAAATCTGTATTTTTTTGAAACCATTTTTTTTTTTAGAACCATGGCACCTGTACCAGATGAGACGAGTGTTTTGTATTCAGAAGCTGCTATCCCAAGCACAGCTAAAAACCTAGATGTCAAATTTAATCAAGCATCTCGACCTACACTAAACAAGGATGTAGTCTATAGACAAGATTGGGTGTTGAAAAACGTTTTTATAATGATCATACTTCATCTTCTAGCTCTAAACGGGTTGTGGTTCATCCTCACATTAAAAGCTATGTGGCAAACTATAGTGTTTTGTAAGTACTATTTAAGTTTTTAATTAAGTAATTATACATAAAAATTTTTTTCTAAAGTAGGCCTTGGAAAAATTCACGCATGTCAGATCATTCAATTCTTCTTCTTTTTAAGTCGGAGCCATGACGTACCTCTGTGGGTCAGAACCTACTTTAGAAACATTTTTTATGGACCACTCTTTGGTACTTATCTTCTTTTATACTTTCATTAAAAGTGATTTATTATTTTTCAGTGCTTGTTTACGTATCATTCACCACGACAGGTGTGACAGGTGGTGCGCATAGACTTTGGGCGCATAGAACGTACAAAGCAAAACTACCATTTAGAATATGGTTGATGTTGGGTCAAACTGGAGCCCTTCAAAATGATATTTACACTTGGGTGCGAGATCATAGAGCGCACCACAAATTTACTGATACCGATGCTGATCCTCACAATTCCACTAGGGGGTTCTTTTTCTGTCACGTGGGATGGTTGTTGATGAAGAAACATCCCGATGTCATCAATAAAGGAAAGGCTCTGGATATGAGTGACGTTGAGGCTGATCCTGTGGTGATTTGGCAGAGAAAGTAAGTAATCTATGCAAAACTCAAATTTATTATTCTACAGAAAAGGTCTCTAAAGTATGCCAATAGATAAATGACGTATATCTTCTTTCTTAAATGTCAGTTTGGATTGAATTCAGTAGTTAACTCGGACGTGACTTGTATCTCTATCTTTGTCAGTCATAATCTAATTTAGAAACATGTTTTGAGGATCACTCGTTATATTCTTTAATATAGAATCTTTCAATTTTCGACACATCTGTGGCATCTTCAGGGAGAATAATGTAAAGTGCTGACACAAGATGTCAAAAATTTGAAAAAAAAATTCATTAGATAATTGGTAATAAGTTGTTTCATGTAAAATACCTAGCAGTAGATAATCCATAAAATACATTTTTATCTGTTTCAATTCAAAATGTTAATAATAAGAGAAAAACTCATTTCCCAGAAGCAAATTCTAGGGAAACCCTAAAATTTTTAAATTTTATTAAAAAAAGTTTCATGTGTAAAATTTGAATTGTATATTTTACTCCTTCCACACCTATTTATTAAAAAAATACTAGTTTTCGTTAACTCTGTAGACCTTCTAAGCATTTATGTATTTATTAAATTAAATTATTTTTCGATGTTAGGACTAATACATATTAAATCAACCATCACTTATAACTTAAACACCAAATTTGATTTAAAATATTTCCTTTTACTATGTTTACTAAATGACGAAGATTTTTAAATACGAATTGTACTTTGGTATAATATATTTTTGTTAAAAAATTCCTAAATATACGTATAATTTAATGAGAACAACAAAAAGAGTAATTTAAATTTCATAATAGTTACGACTTTTATCAATTTGGCAACGCTGCTTATCTCTCGTTAATACAAAATTATTGTGATTTCAATTTCAACATTATTCTAAGAATAGAAAATGCGTAATAACAATAATAATTTAAAAGTGATTATGTATTGACAGTCTAGTATGCCATGGGATCGAAACTGCAGTGACAGCTAGTTTCTAGACGAGAAATACCAAAACAAACTATTAAAATTACGATTAGAAAACACATTTACAAAGAATGATACTTAGTCTAATTGATTACCGGCCCCCGAAAAACCCCAATTCCGTAAATTTACAAATAAATGATTAACAAATCGGTACCTAGGTATACCGGGTGACAATAAGACCTGGACTACGTGAATATTTCTCTAATTTATGCAGCGAATTGGATTAAATTTAAGACAGACTTACTAGACATAAATTAGAATTGACAGTTATATTTAAACAAAATGATCGACTTCTGGTTTCATCGGAAACGCCATTTAGTTTAATTTTTAAAAGTTCACACTATACATATATGTAATGTATCCAAATTACATATTACAGTGTTGTCAAATTTTATTTTTTTCCAATAAAATTGCTATTTTCTTTTTTTTATGTAGATGACACTGAGATAAAATAAATGACGATGCTAAAGTGTCCTTACCTTTGCATTGAACTTTTACGTCATTTGTCAAACTCGAGATAGTGGATCTAGTTAGTTGTGGTAAAAATAATTGCCATTTTTGTTAAATAGCTTCATTTAAATGATATAAACTCATTTTCATTCCGTCAGTCTTCAAATATAAAATTATTGACTTCAAAGAAATCAAAGTACCTCTCAAGTTGCCATTTTCATTACACTTTTCCGTCACTCGAAATGCGTAAATCTGGCATATCGCAAAATAGTCTTCAGAACAATCACATTTTCTATCGCATTTTATAATATCTTAATTAGGTCTATGTACAATTTGAAAAGTAATATCTTCGAAATAATTATTGGACGATATTTGTAATTTATCAATGTAATATTTAGTTATTTAATCAATGTCAGGAAAAACTAGAAATTAATTCAATAAACGATTTAATAACTTTAAATTAAAAGGTAAAATTTAGAACAAAATAAAATTAGAGAAAAATAAGTATTAAATGATTACAAACAATAAAACGTAAATAAAATAAAAGTAAAATAAAATACTCACTTAATGCACGTATGAGATGGCGTACCTGAAATAAAAGAAAGCAAGTTTACCAAAAGCAGTTTTATATTAAAGAAAGTCATGAAAAGGTCATATCCATAAACAAAATATACTTATTATCCTTTTAATTAACAAGAAAATTATACTGATAACTCTTTATGTCAAAATATTGATCGATATATAAAACAACCCATTACTAGCACACTGACCGCAATGTCACTAGCCCGCACCAACCATGGTGCGACGACTCTGGGAAAACTGACCACAGTAATCCCAAAATAAACGCATACATTGACCGCCAGAACAGACAATCTAACTCACTTTACTTTTGATTACACCTCGTAGAGGAAAACAAAATATAAGTAAATAGTCAAATTCAACTTCAAATAAGTTTTAATTATTTAATATAACCACGTTAATTTAGGTTTTCTCAATACTTGACAAAATATCTTTACGTCAGCATTGACAAATTAACTATAAAAGGTTGATGGATAATAACTGGCTAATATAATTTGCAAAATAACTTGATTACAAATTAAAGCAAAACTAACTGATAAAACATAATTACTCAGTGAGAAATACTCACCCTGTTCAGAAAACGGCCACTCACAAAAATTATAATTATTCACTAGTTTATTATTATTGGAACGAACTTTAATTTTGTTCCGCAAAGCAACTAACCCAAATTTAAAATGATCTGTATTTTATGCCTGCTTGATATTTTACCCTTAGTTCCCATATTCGTAATCCGATACCTCCGTATCTTAATAGTGTTAACATAAACATAGGCTGTAACTGTTTTGGGAGACAAATATTTCGTGCGTTTAAAACCGGGTGTTTCGTAAAATAAATTTGTATAGAAAATAAAATCATTCTTACATAATTTAAAAAGGCACAAAAGTATTTAACGAACTTAGCACACTACAATAATTATTATTTAATACAATATGTTCAGTTCGTATCTGCATTAAGAAATTGACGAATTTTATTAATAGAGGCGGTCAATTCAAATATGTTGATGGACATCAGACCGTTGTCGTTGAAACGAAAAATGCTATTTTATATAATGATTATTTTTAGTGATTTAAAGGTTATATGAACGACAATTATAAGACATTATAATTTTTAGAAATGTTACATTTAAAAAAAAAATAATTTTTTTTAATACCTTAAAATGGGGTTACTTTGCACAAAAGTTTTATTTTTTTTTTAATATCTATGGTTCTGTTTGGAATTATAAAACCCGCCCTAACTATATGAAAATTTAATACTTTGGCTACATAGTTTTGTAATTGTAAAGCATAAAAAAAGAACCATATTTTTTAAAAGTTTAAAAAGTTGGCAAAGTTACCTCGACTTTGGGGTTACTTTGCCGCGTGGCATTTTTGCACGTTTTTAAGTGTACAGGCCAAGTTAACACTCTCGAAGGGTTACTTTACCCTCCTTTAATGTGTTTAAAAAAAATATTTTAATAAACATACTTTATTTTTACATTAAAAATATATATTTCTAAGAAAATAAAGGAACATTTGCTTCTTTGCAAGTCAACAAACAACTCCTATAAAATAATAATAACTCTTAGGTAACAAAATAATAACATAATTCTTAACTATTCTTAACACCACAAAAGAAACTTAACATCCCTTTGTAATCTTAACACGTTCTAAATACTTTTTATACAATCTATTAGCTTTACTTTAATCCCAGTATACTGCCATTTTTCATTTACGCTCCGGATTTCTTCCAGTTATTATATATTACTGTATACTTCATTCAAAAATCTTTCAATTTGTTCTATACGATTTTCCCACTATTAACCTCAAAATTTTAATGATTTCCTTTATATATTTTCTGCCTGATTTGCTAGTGAATGTCTAATATTAATCATGATACACTTTAAATTATTTTTTTTACAAAAATCTCGTATATTGCTGAAGTAAGTAGCATTAATTATAATGATGCATTTATGTTTTACAAGCTCTTTAAAAAACTCTTGATTTTTTCCTTCACCCAACAACTTTTTGTGCTCTTAGTCAAATAATTAACGAATTTTTGAAAAAATATTTAATATTATCAAAATAGTCAACTTTCCACTATCACTTCTAATCAAATTGCTAATAAAATCCACTGTTTTGACTATACCACCTTCTTTGATATCGGATATCGGAATATTAACTACATTTTCTTCCCCCTATATGACCATTTCCTACATGTAACTTCTTTAAAATCCTACTGACGTAACCACAAACAATTTATTATCTTCACACCTTTTTATAAAAACTTTACCAACTTTGAACCAAAATTATTCCATCTATTATAATCCTTCTCTGTCTATAGTTTACCCCTGTGCTTCGCACCTCGCTAATCTACCTTGACCCTCGGCTGTAATAGAATACTTCTCCGCTCGTTGTGTAATATACTATTATTAATTACTTGCAATAACCTGATTATTATGCTTTATTATTAGACATTAATCGAAGAAAAAGAAAAAAAGTCTTGTACCACCAAGATAATACCGCGCCCAATAAGTTGGCAATTACGATGGCGAAACTGTACGAATAATGATTCCAGTTAATTAAACATGCCCCCCGTATTCACCGGATTTGGCTCCGTTCGATTTCCTCCTGTTTTCCAAATCTCAAGAAGAGATTGGCTGGAAAAAATTTCTCATCCAATAGTGAAATCATCGAAGCTGTAAAATAGTTACGTCATCTGAAGTCACAACATAAAAAGCATTAACCCGCTAAAGATACACTAACAATAGACAAGGCGTAACTTAATAAAGGGCGTCACTGACTACACCAAGAAGCTAAAAAATAATTTTTAAGTAACCATTCCTTTTTTATAACTCTCAGAGCATGATGCTTTTACCTGTGGTCACCTGGGATGGTCTAAAATCCTTGTTGAACCAAAAATAAGGTCAAGTGTGTCTTGATAGCACTAAGCCACATCAAATGAGTCCTGCTGGCCAGATCATCAATCAATTCACAACTGTAACTCGTCCCTGGGATCTCTTCTTCATTGATCTTGTTGCCCACTACCGAGAACATTGTCGGGACATACATTATTTCCCCATATATGATAGTTTTTGTAAATTTGTTCCCCGTCGCGTCATGTCGGGTGAAAAGATATCTCAAATCCTGGAGGAACAGGTTTTTCTTGATAATGGCCCGTAATTTAAAAATAATTTATATTATGTTCCTCTCTAATAACTTAAGAGTGTATTTCCTTAAGGCCTACTTCTAGTCATCCATTCGCAACGTTTGCAAGCTCAGGATAGTAAATCATCAAGAAAATACTACTATCACATCTTTTCAAATAGTTCCTGCTGTTTTTGCCCTGTTGAAAGGACTTAAAAAGCGTTAGACTAAATGTTTTACATTTTGGTCATATTTGAATATTACAGAATTTAGCATCCTTTCCTTTTTAATATTTTAATATTTTGTTTTCAGATATTACATACCTTTAGTACTTTTACTAACTTTCATTATGCCTACGTGGGTCCCGATGTACTATTGGGGTGAATCTTTCTACGTCTCCTTCTGTGTCTCACTGTTTAGATACGTCATATCTCTAAACGGAACTTGGTTGGTCAACAGCGCCGCCCATATGTGGGGATACAGACCATACGATAAGTGAGTATACTTTGTAATAAAAAAAAAACCTAAGAAAATTTGACTTTCTTGATAATAAGACTATTTTTTACTATGAATACATCTTTCTATAGAATAAGAAGGTTATCCATATATCCATATCTCCATATCTTCTTCCTATAATCATCCGACAGCACTGCAGCCCAATTGAAGATTATATATTATAAAACAGAAACTTTTATTTTTGGAATTTTACTTTATTTCCCTCAGTTTTTTAAGTTCTAATAGATGAGAACGTCGTGCAATCATAGAGGCGATTCCGTATAATGGCAGTAAGAATACTAGTAAGATTCTGTCTAGTCAAATTCAAGTATTTGTTTGCTGTAGCAATGTCAGGGTGGTTTAAAAGCTCCATAGTCACTCTGCAGCTTTTTGTTTTAACCAACCTTTCCTTGAATTTCACAAGGGAATGTTCTTTAATTAGATTTTCAGATCTATTGTGGGGGCTACCTTTTTGGTTAGTGAAGCGTTAAGCTTTCAACTTGCCAATTTTCAGTTTTATGAAACCAATCTTTTAAAATGAAGTTGTAAGTGGGAAATTGCAAAGTACCGTAATCTGGGGTGAGATCGGACACATTTTAAAGGTTTTTTCTTAATAGCAAGAGGCTAGATTTTTGTAAAAATCTGAAAAAATTAATATAAGAACCTTAAACCTTCCTCTATCGAATACAGTATTTGTTTTTTGCATATTTCAAAAAATTCTATTTTATTTTTTTTATTATTATTGAAAGGTGTCCGAACTCACCCCTGGTCTAAGTTCGGATCACCTTTAATTTATAGGAAAATCCAAACTTAATTTATAGTAAGAGTGTGTTCGGACAAACATAATTAAATATACATATATACAGATTTCATAAAAAAAATTTCTTAGGGGTCCAAACACAATTTCGGTACGAACAATTTTATTTAAAGTAATAAAACTCAAATATTTTTCCAAAAAAACATAAAAACATTTAAAAACACGTAATAACTATGTTATTAACCAAGAACATAAACAATAAAACTAAAATAAGTTTCCAAAAAACATAAAAACATTTAAAAAAACACGTAATAACTATGTTATTAACAAAGAACATTGCAATAAACTCATTATTCTATTTTGATGTTGTCGTGAAGGTGCTTAAAAAAGTGCCTTCCTCTTCTTATTTCTTTTAGAAGAATTTTTTTAAAAATATCTTTTTTAAGTCCCTCAGAAATATCGGGAAATATAAAATAATTATTTTTTTCGCCTTTTATTCTAAGATATTTTACTAAAAAAAGCTCTTCTTTTATATCAACAATTTTATCTATAAGACCAACAAACTATCGAAATTGTTTTTGGTCTTCACAAGGAACGGAAACTACAACGAAATCTCCCACTTCAATGAGATTTTGATCAACTTCTGGTTCTCTCTCATAAGTGCTGGTAGAAGGTTGCTCAAATACAGACATTTCATTTTCGTCTTCATAAACGTTTTCTTCCTCTTCTACGCAAATGTTTTCCACATCACTCTCCTCAAAAATGATATTTTCTTCTTGGGGAAGTTCTTCTGTTCTCACACCTTTTCCAGGGGCAACATTCAGCTTTTTACCCCTCCTCGGTTTTTCGCTTTTTTCCTCCCATCTACAGTCTTTTAAATATTCGGAAAAACTTTGGCTCCAGTGATCATTAGCATTATCCTTTTCTGCTGTCTTTCCGGGCAACTTTTCCAAAACTATTTTAGCATTTAATGGAACAATTCCACAAGCTCTAAAACGAGATTTGATATTTTTGTCGATATTCGGGCCCAAAGATTCTAAAGTTTTCTTTAAAAGACGAGGAAATTCTGATTTAGGCAGGACACCTTTATTTTTCATTTTCCAATCAGTCAAGTTTGCACGCCAGTGTTTCTTCATGGGGCCAAAAAACGCAACATCCAGAGGTTGCAGCAAGTGGGTGGCATACGGGGGTAATAAAATGAAATGAATGTCGTTTTCTTCACATTGCTTAATCACAAACAATGACAAGTGACTGGAAAGATTGTCGCCAATTAACAACTTTCGCCCTTCTAACTTGCGGAAATATGGCAAAACCACTTGTAAAAACCAGTCTTCAAATATTGGTGTCTCAAACCACCCACTTTTCGATCTACTGTATACAGTGCCTTCTGGGCCCCCTTCTATCCAAGTTGGGTAATTATGAAGAGCTCGGTATACGACATACGAAGGCAGCAAAACACCTGAAGCACTAGCAGCCATCATAATTGACGTGCTGCTTTTAGAAGAATCAATAATTCTATTTATATGTTTGGATCTTTTTTTACCAACGACCTTTGATCTTCCAGGATCGTCAGTTAAATTAGATTCATCATAATTAATTTTGTTCTCTGGAGGAATAGGTCCTATAACAGCCTGAAGGTTATCAAAATATTCTTGAACTTTTTGCCTATCGACTTCTGCTCTACTCCTCTTGATATTTTGTGCAAGGCGCTCCGATAAAATTTTATGTCTGAACATAAATCCATAAAACCAATCTTCCCCGGGCATGTTGTCTTTAAATCCTGTGATTTTTGTTCCGGATCTGTCCAAATATGATTTGACGATTAGGCGAATATCCAGCCTAGTTAAGGGAAAGCCCCATTCGGCGGAAGTTAAAATTCCTTGTGCCAGTTCACTCTTTTGTTCTTGGCTTAATTTGGTTTGCCCGCCACTTTTTTTAGCGTGCTTACCTGTCATTTTGTCATTTATTGTCGATTTTGGTATGTTGTAGAACTCTGCTGCCTCCCTCAGGGTCTTCCTTTTAGTCCTGACATCTTCAACAGCCTTATTTAAAGCCTCTTTGGCATAGTTGGATCTTTGTTTTACGCCAAGAGGACGCCTGTAATTTCTGGGCATGGTGTTCGAACTCGCCCCACGAAAAGCTATATTTTTTCTATAACAAGAAAAAAAAATTCGGGAATGAAAAAATAAATGATAATTATTCATGAATCATTAGAAAACATATAAACCTACATTATATGAAAAATTACGATTCAATTGCTTACAGATCCCTTCCCCCAGATGTTTGTTTCTAACGTTATAAAAAATATGCAAATTACGACCCATATCAAAATATCCCGTACTTACCACAAACTTTCTCTAGCGGCAATTTCTACCTAACTGGAGTGAAATGAGACAATATTGGACATGTAAACACATGTAAAAAACTTCGCCAATGAAAAACGTGCTCGTAGTCACGTGATTTCCCACGCCACGTACCATTGTCCGAACTCGTACTACCTGTCCGATCTCACCCCAGATTACGGTAGCTTAATTAAATAGGCCACTGGTCTACTGTTGCCTTCTAGACACCTAATCTTGCGCCCACACCATCGATACATAAGTCTAAACGTTTTTTCCTTTTTAGCTCCATAAATCCTACAGAAAACAGATTCGTCTCCACGATAGGCTTCGGAGAAGGCTGGCACAACTATCACCACACTTTCCCCTGGGACTACAAAGCAGCAGAGTTGGGCAACTACAGAATGAATTTGACAACTGCTCTCTTAGATTTTGCCGCCTATATAGGACAAGCCTACGACCTCAAAACCGTGTCAGAAGAGATGGTTCGTAAAAGAGCGGTCAGAACGGGGGATGGTTCACGGATGGATGATAAACATTCTGTGAATGATGTTGGTGGAAAGGAAAATCATCATTTTCATGATGACTGCGTTTGGGGATGGGGCGATAAAGATATGAAAGATGAAGAAAGGAATAGTGCTAATATTACTTATGTTAAAGGAGATATATAGATCGGTATGTTGTTATTATTAATATTGTTTTTAGAAGAGATCCAAGCAAAATATGTACAAAATATAATGTGAAATTGTTATAAAAAATTACTTCAAGAATACCCAAAGAGTTTCTTAATTTGTTGATTTATAGAATCTTAACTATATTTTCTCTTTTAAGTTTGTCTTAACGTACTTGCGATGTCTGCTCTTCAATGACTTAATTTATGATTCCTGCTCCTCTTCAAAATAGGCATACATATGCTTCTTCAACTTATGAGATCCTTTCAAACATTTTTGAATAAAAAAATTAGGCAGTGCGAAATTATGGACTATAAAATGATTTACCACAAAGAGTTTGGGTTGTATCTATGCTTTTTGAACTCTGCATTGTCTTATTCAAGTGTGTATTTTCCTTCCTTATTTTTGTTTTTGATTAATTTTAAGAAAGAAATTTTCATTAGTTTTCTATAGTATGTTTTATGATGTTAGAAAAAAAATATTTTACATAAAAACAACATCACTAGCTTCAACGTATTTTCTATTTAAAATGTCTGCTTTCTTACCCAATATAAAACTTCTTTATTAAAATTGAATACCATCATGAAGTCAAAAAGCTTCAATAAAAATAACTCCTGTTTGGAGAACATGAATGAGTTTCCTTCCAGTTGTAGATTGTGAACGTGACTGGTTTTGTAGCCAGATAATTAATTTAGTTACTATCTTAACTATTTTATTTATTAGAATTGTTAAATCGCTTGGATTAGCTTTATTTAATGCTTTAGCAATGGCAGACACTTCGAAAACCATTGTTTCAACCATTTTGGAAACATTAGGATTAGTTGCATCAATTTTTCCTTTTCTTGAGCTATCTTCAATGTATTCACGAGTCAAAAACTTGCAAATAACATTTAAACGTTCTGTATCTCTATGGTGAGAAGTGTCTCTAATTATACAGTGTGCTCAATTAAGTCGGCACCATACGAGAAACTTTTTTATTATTGATAAAGTTATTCCTCATAAAAAGTTCTGCATCGTTTAAAACCCAAGATGCATTCATCGGACATTAAATTTTGTGAACCGTATACGATGTGCTTAAAAAATATAAATTTTGCTCAAGAGTAATGTATCTTAATTTTTGATTAACCTCGTATACGGCTGATAAAATTTGTTACATTTAATTGAGTTTTATGTTTTAGGTCATGAGAAACTTTTTATGAAGAAAAACTTTTTTTCCTAAAAAAGTTATTCTTCATAAAAAGTTGTGCATTGTCTAAAACCCAAAATATAACAATCAGATATCATATTTTACAAATTTATACAAAGTTTGACAAAAATAAAGGTACTTTATGAGCAAAATTTTAACGCACCTTGTATACGACTCAAAAAATATTATATTTGATGATATAGTTGAAGACAATCCATAACTTTTTATAAAGAATATTTTTTTTTTTTATAAAACTAACAAAAAAGTTTTATAAGCAAAATTTTGACGCACCTCATATACGACTTAAATTTTTTTAAATTTGATGGTTGTATTTTAAGTTTAAGACAATGCAGACGTTTTTATAAGGAATAAATTTTATCCATTAAACTAACAATAAAAAAGTTCCCCATTTGGTGCCGACTTAATTGGACACACTGTATTTTAATTTTCGTCATAATTGAAAAAGAATGTACATAGTATAGTGAAGGTTATCAATATATTGTAGGTTTAATTTGCCATTGTACAGAGGATGTATTAAAAAAAAAACAAAAATCTATTAAAAATTAGCAATTTTGATTAGAGGAGTTGTATATTATTATGTATATTTATTATTTAGTTATAATCTATGTTTATTTAATTGATTAATTAAATATTTATATTTATTTGTTTTTTATTTGTTTATTATAAAATAGTTAACCCTGGAAAAATAAAACAAATTTTTAAAAAACCTCATTTATTCTTTCGATAATAGTTTTTCGATTTTGAAATAATCTAGACAGCAGTTCTCGATACTGTTATCCTACAGGTATCTATGTACAAGGCGCTAAATATATTTTGAGAAAACAAAGCATAAGGTGTCTCATTTTAAAATTTAAAAACTAAATATTATTTAATTACTTTTAATTACCTAACCTCACTTAAGATTTTTAATACTTTCATCATTGGTGAAAAAGCATTTTTCGAAGATTTGAACAAGAATTTCTGAATGGAACACCCTATACATTTTTTTAAAATTTCCTTATAATTTGATATTTGGTACATAAAACACACATTTATACCTACATTTTTAAATAAAATTAAATTAAGAAAATATTGAGAAATAATGGAAGTTATGAATAATAATATACAGGGTGTTCTAACGAAAACTTAAACCCACCATATATCATTATTAAACTCAAGTGTTTGTTAGAACATTATGATGAAATTACCTCATTAAAAAATAGTAAATGCTTCCTATTTCGTTAAAACAAAATAATAACATTAAAAATATTTATAATTCACTGGTGTAATATTCATAACTTCCATGTATTTTATTTATTTTTATAAAATAATCCTATTTTTATATATCACAGGAGTATTTAAATAACAAATTAAAACGTTGATTCTTAACAAATATAAGATATGGTGGTTCATCTTTTATTATATACAGGGTGTTGCATGACGTACTATAGATTTTGTAATAGAAATTCACGTTTGTGATTATCAGTGACTTTTCCAAATCATCAACATTCAGTGCTGTGTTTCGACAAAATAGATCACTTGGCATACTACGTTAATTTATCTTCTGATCTTTGAACGCTTGTAGCTCAGTAATCATAACAGATTTGCTTCAAAGAAACTCGAGAATATAGTATTTAAGTTTGATCACTATCATGCAACATCCTGTATTCAACCCTTCCCAAATAGATAACTTTTATTTACTAACTTTATGTTATGTTATGTTGGGAATGTGTTGTTAATACACTGCGACCTAAAAGATCTATTGTGAACCCTTCTGTCGCCAATGCACCAAGGAAATGTCTCAATGCCTATAACGACCCTTTCAATCCTATTTTCTTAAGGAAGTGTAGGATTTAAAGTGGCTTCAAGTTAGGTAAATCTCCCTCTTCTATTTGATATCCTCCTAGATATAGTGCCCTTGGATTCTGGAGTGCTACACATTCAGTTAGGATGTGAATGGAGGTTTCGTCCTCCTCCTCACAGAATCTGCACTCACTATTCTCTACTACCAACAGTTTACTTAGGTGACCTTTTAGTCGGCAATGCCCGGTAAGGATCCCTGTTACAATACGTAGCATGTTCTTGCTCAGGCTTCCGTTCTTTTCTGGTTATATTCACCCAAAAGTATCTTGGCCTATCTCAGCCCCAAGAGATTGTTTCAATTATCGGTTCTTCTACTGCCCAATTCTTTTTTAATCTCTCCTAATATTATGTTACTGCTGGTACCGCAGAACGACTCGGGTCCTACAAAGGGTATTTGAGTCCCTTTCCTTGCAAGACTATCTGCAATCTCGTTACCCTGTACCTCGTTATGTTCCGGGACCCAAGTGAGAGTAACTCTATTTTTCTCGCCTAGCTCATTCAATTGTTCTAGGCATCTTCAGACCATTTTTGAGCTGATTACGTAAGAGCTCAGCGCTTTGATGGCTGCTTGACTATCGGACATGATGATAATCTCTTGTCTATGATAGTTTCTCTCGATGTTGAACTGGATACACTTCTCGATGGCGTGAATTTCTGCCTGGAAGATGCTTGTGATGCTTTCGGAGTGCTTGGTTGTCGGCTCATACACTCCTATTCCAGTTCCTTCTATGGTTTTGGAACCGTCCGTATACCACTGAATAGCAGGTCTTTCGGTTGCAAGCGCGATGGATTTTTGGCTTCATTCTTTCTTGCTGCCCAGCTTTGTGGTTTTGAAATTTTTCACAAAACTCTACTTCTTTAGTATTTTATCCTGGGGCATGTCCCAGGTATCTTTAGTCCTGAAGCAAAGTAGACTTTCATCTGATTACTCCGTTCCTGATCATTCTATATCGTGTTCTTTTTGCCACATTCTCTATCATCAAATGTAGAGGGCTGAGGTTTAGGATCACCTTCATTGCGGCCGTAGGACAGGTTCTCATTGCACGAGTAATACAAACACAGGCTAGTCTTTGTACTTTTGAGATATTAGCTCTCGTAGTAGCTAAACTAGTTCTGTTACTCCAGGCTATAGCCCCGTAAGTGATGATTGGTTTCACTATTGCAGCATACATCCATCGCAGTATGTTTGGGTTACATCCCCATCGTTTGCCTGCAATGTTTCTGCATACCATTAAGGCTTTTGTGGCCTTATTTACTTCATGTGTGTTCCAGAGAAGTTTGTTGTTCAGGGTTAGGCCTAGATATTTGACTTCATTTTTCCATTCTATATCTATCCCATCTAATTTAACGGTTTTGCGATTAAGTTTTCTTTTCCTTGAATAGGCTACTGGTGTTGTTTTTGTACGGTTTTTACTAAGTCCCACTTCACGGCATCATCTTTTGGTATGTTCTAGTCCTCGTTGGACTATATTACACAGGATATTACTAAACTTGCCTCTAGCAAATATGACTATGTCGTCGGCATAACCTTGACTGGGTATGCCGAGGTCAGTCAATCTGCATAGAAGTTCGTCTACGGTTAGGCTCCACATTAGTGGGGATAGAACTCTTCCTTGTGGACATCCTCTGGTTGTGCAGATGGAGATGGTGTCCTGTCCTATCTGTGTCTCTGCAGTTCTCGTAGATTCATCTGGATGTGATGTTACCTACTCCTCTGTATGAAAGTGCTCTTTTTACAGATTCGTGTGGCGTGTTGTCAAAATTTACTTCTATGTCCAGGAAGGCACTTACGAGCGTTTCTTTGTTTGTCAGTGCATCCTGAATTACGTCAGTCAACTGTACCAGGGCAGTTTCTGTAAATCTTCTTGCTCGGTACGCGTGTTGGCTATGATGGCACCCTCTCCAGGACTTCCGTTTTGATATAATTATCAACAGCCTTCTCCAATGTTTTTAATACAAAGGATGTGAGGCTGATTGGTCGGAAGGATTTAGGATGTGTGGTATCCTTTTTACCTACTTTTGGACTAAAGGTGACTTTGGCCCTTCTCCATGCTTCTGGTATATATCCCAGCTCCAGACTGCTCCGGGATAGCCGGATTATATGTGGTAGTAATTCCTCCTGTGCCTGCAGAAAATACTCCATCCACTAACTTTAAAACGACTACCTATAAAGTTATATTTTATTCTGATTTTCTATTAGTCTTTTTCAAAGGTTGAGTTACTTTGTTATAATACCTAGCTGTTATTTTTTTTATTATCTTTGACTTCAATTTGAACTACATCTCTAATTCATGCTCTTATTCATATAACCAAAGCTACAATAGCATAAACAGTGTATATCAAAGTGATCAACAGGAAGCAACTATTTTTTATGGTCCTTTGAACCGGATCAATAACCATTTAAAACATTTGGGTTTTTTATGTGTTAGATACAATAAATGATGGACCACTTTTAGTACAGAAATACAGAGTTCGTTAAAAGTTTTAACACTATTAAAAAATGTTACCTTTACTTTTATTAAAAAAACTGTTTGGAAAATGTTTAAAATTAATTTGACTGGAGTTATAAAATTCATTAGAAGATCTTTTCAACAAAATTTCATGTAAGTAGTCTAAAAAAAATATTAAATGTCTTTAAATGAGCCCATCACGGGGTCAATTCCTTATGGTACAAGGTAGGTAATAAAAAACATTTTTCTTTCTTAATTTAGTCATGTTTTTATCTCACAATATTTGAATGCAGCCCTAATTCACTTTCTATCTTGGAAATAATACAAAAATTAAAACTAAATTTTGATTAATTCTATATTTAAAATAAAAAAATGCAACATCGCCTTCTCCAACGAATTTTTTAAGATTAGTTTTTATTTTTTAAATTATTAATACTTATTATTGATTTTGAACAAAAACCTAAACATTTATTAACATAAATAATAAACACAATTTTTGGAAATTATGAAAATGAAAAATCTTCAATTTCCCGTAGGAAATTATGAAAATTGTATTTAGTTTTTAGATATCAACCGAATTTTCCCATTTCACTTTTCTTTCATTAAATAAATTAATCATGCCATACAAATATCTTAAGAAAAACATTTACTTGACATGAAAACTGTCAGTTACTAGCCAACTAGGTACCTGATTATTTTGTTAAAATTTCTTACAAAAAATTAAAACTTTTAACAAACGATGATTACGATAGGATACATATTTATCTTACAAATATATGATAAAATTGACTGGTGTTTTTGTTAAACTGTACCTACCCTTTTTACAATTCAAATATAAACCAAAATATATAAAATTTAATAAATACCTATAGAAATCTATAAAATACACATAATTAAATTATTAATGGGCAATTTTCTGTAGTATAAATCAAAGTGAGCAAGAATTGGAGTAAATGGTCTGAATATTTCTATTTTCAACATTATTCTAATTATTTTTAGTTATTTTAAATAATGCATTCACTCTTATCTTGCAGAAAAAACTCTAGGAAGTATATACGAGTAGAATGCTATACTTTATCCACTATTGAACATATTTTACTAATTTTTTTAATAATACAATTAAACAGCGCTTTTATTGGAAATTTATTAGAAAAGACATAAAAGAATATATTAAAACTGCTCTGTCTGCCAACATGTAAATTTAAATATTTGCCCAAACAAAA